ACACACACACACACAGAACAGTATTTGATTGTATTTTTCCATCTATGTCTCATGTCATGTCAGTTAAACTGTCAAATTTATATGGCAATCAGCCAGATATCATACGGCTGCAATGTGCAATTACTGATTAGGCTCTGCACCAAATATCCCATATACAATTCAACTCAATTCAAATTTATTTTCTCAAAGCACTTTACATTGTTCCTGCCAAATGCAGGGTGACAGTGGCAAGGACAAAACTCCCTATAGTACGAAGAAGCCTAGGGAGGAGCCAGACTCAGAAGTGGAGCCCATCCTCCAGGGGCCGGCAGAGGAAGTCCAAAATAACAGTCCCAAATTATAAAGCAAAACTGCAGAATTTAGGAACAGAAAAGGAATCGGCGGCTTGTACTTGGGACTTACTCATGCTAATCCACATTAGCTAGATGTGTTCCTTAACTACAGTAGCATGTGATGGAGTTCCTCTGTCCTCCATTTGTCCTCGCTGATGGTTACCTAACGCCAAAGCCCTTCGCACTCTCTCTTCCACAGCTCAGCCCGACGTCTCCATGGTGGACAGCACCATGTCCCCCGACGAGATTGAGATGGAAATGGCTCGCATCCAGCGTCTGCGTGAGGTGCTGGTACGTCGTGAGTCTGAGCTGCGATTCATGTGAGTATCACGGTGTCGGCGTCGCGCTTGCCGGCCATTCCAGGCTTTTCTCTCGAGAATGGAAAATGTTTCCCGGATCGTGCAGCACAGCTGTCTGAGCGTATGATTGCTCCAGTAATGTGGTGGATTCAGAGGTCAGCAGATGACTAGCGATTAAGATCACTCAGATATTTACAGCAGGATGGTGCAGCTGTTGCATTATTACTGGGACCTAATATCAAGGCATTTTGCATTCTGTACTTTTTTGGTGGGGGTCATAAGCTCATGATTATACTGCAGGGGAGGTGTGAAGTCAAACATCTAAAACATAAGCTTTGGCATTTCAGTCCAGAGATTGGGGAAACCTGTTTAGCCAAGACTGCTGCGCTCTAGTCTGAACTAATTAAACCACACAAGAGACAAAAAGCACCTCTGTGTGACAGTCTGCCTCCTGCCAGTTCTCTCCTCCAGAAGGATAAACGAGAACAGCTGCTCCAGCCTGATCTTGTAGGGAATGGCAGTCGAGCATCACGATTCCTTCTCGGTCTCCACTGCAGTCATTAGCCAAAAAGCTTCCTGTACCCTGTCAGACTGGCATGATTTAAAATCCCCAAGGCGTCTTTGTTTTTGACCATTGACACTGAGGTAGGGTGCTTATCAAGCTCACTTTAATCACAATGTGATTGACTGGGCGTTTAGGGTCCTAGTTTGACCTTTACATTGAAGACACAAGACAGCACACCACCCTACTGCCCTCTGCTGGGGGGAGCTTGGAATGACTCATCGCTCATCACTTCCAGCTTTATCGCAGAGCGACTGAGGCCCCAGCAGCCTGACAGGCATTCTCTCTGCTAGCGGCAGAGGATGGGGATTAATAGATGGCCATTGGGGGGAGGGGGGGGGGGCGATCAGCACCCGGCCCACCTCCCTGAAAGATTATCTGCTAACCACTTTCATACACCTGCTTTCTTGTAATAAAATCACTTGATATAAAAGTGCCTTCAACATTCAAGCCTATAGCTTCTCGTCTCATTTCCACACAGACCTCATACGCAGGGCTTAGCAGGGACTTTGAGGGGCAGGTGCTCCCAGCTTAGAAAGGGGCATGCATAAGATGAGTAAATAGTTCAGGAAAAACAGGGCAATGCTTAGGCATCCCCAGCTCCCCCTACTGGACATGTCTATTAATAGGCTTATAGCAGTGGGATGGTTCAGTTAAGGGCACCAGCATGAATACTAGACAGTTGTGTCAACTACCTCCAGTCACCTATTTTAACTGTTTGAATACAATATGGTCAAAATCAGTGCAATCTTGCCCACCTGACTTCTGAATGTCGCTGATCGACGAGGCTGAGCTGCAAGGTTCAGATTTTGAAGGACGTGGTCCGTCTGTCATCTTGTGCTGTTAGGATGGACGATATTCAGCTGTGCAAGGACATCATGAAGCTGAAGCAGGAGCTGAGGAAGATCGTGGCAGTACCCGGTAAGAGACAGGAAGCCCAAACGACAGGCTGACAGCTGGAGCTCTGACAGCCCGACCATCGGTATGGCTGCGTGTTTCACTCAGATTAAGAACATCCTCAGTTTAAAAGGGAAAGGGAAAAAAAAAGCCACCGTAATAAGTTGATAGAAGTACAGGCGAAAACTAATGAGCTCCTTTTCCTGGATAGTACCTAAATAGATTCCCAGTAAATTAGCAAGCTGTCCTTTAAATATTAAGTAAATGTATAAATAATCCTGTTTTATGTCTAGTAGAGGGGGAGGAAACGTAATAGACACACATTTAAAGTCGCTTCATGTTATTTTGAGCAAGGAAACAAAATGTGCTCTTTGGGTGTTGTCCTACTGTAAGACAAAAACAGCTCCTTCAGACTCTGGTGGCTGATGCGAGTTTTACTGCACGGTTATATTTTGCTCCAAATTGACAGATGCATGGACTGGTGATGGAGCCAGGTGTTTATGAGAGCATATTAAACAAAGCAGCTTGTAACAGGGTTAACTGCTCTCTTACGGCCCAATGTCATACCATCAGAGCAGGAAAAGACCAATAAGCACAGGCAGAGAGAGGAGGAGCTCATTCTGAAGATTCACAAACTGGTCCAGAAGAGAGATTTCTTGGTGGACGACGCAGAGGTGGAAAGATTAAGGTAACCATCTTCTGTGGCTCAGAGACTGATATTAGATTGAAAGCCAGCCCAGACTTAACACAATGCGTTACTTGACCAATTAAATTAACGTAGGTGAAGTGATGAATGTTGCGACGTAACACCCAAATGCACCTGACAGAATGGCATTCACACCCAAAGTGACTAAGCATCGTGTTCTGTGTTTAGTTTGGAAATCAAATGTTTTGCCAAAGCTGGTGCTAGACCTCAGTGCTGGACTCGCCTCATAGGGAACAGGAGGAGGATAAGGAGATGGCAGAATTCCTGAGGCTCAAACTGCTGCCACTGGAGAGGCAGACCAAGGTCACCGAAGGTATTGTTCAGAACCCTTAACACCCTGAAAAGGTGCTAGTGTTCAGCCTAATAATCCATATAGTACAGTCAAGGACCACTGTTCACCATGCAGCTGAAATATTGTGCAATTTTCTTTATTTTTGCAAGGCCCCCCAAAGTTAAAGACCACCCCCCCACCACCTCCAGGCAAGCCCTCAATTACCAAATCAGGAGCTGCGATCATCAAAGACTGCTGTGGGGCTGCCCAGTGTATCGTCATGTGATCATCCTCAAGCCATCCATTTCAAACACTATACTGTGACTTATGTTACCAAACTCCCCATGCAAATATGACAGAGCCCCAAACACAGTTACTGAGCATACAGCACACGTCAACTATTACTTTAAGATGAGTAACTCAAACACACTGACAAGGGTAACTGACACCTTAATTCTGTTGTGCACCAAGGCTTCAAAAAAAAAAAAAAAAACCCACTATTGCGGTTCCAAGATTTATTTGGTTAATTTTGCCAAAACTGAACCACATTGTAGCCCGGTCCAGTCATAAGATAAGTGCCAAACATGCGTTAACCACAACACACAGGAGGGGGTAAATGAAATTGCAGACTATTGTAATGACTGTAGATTTATAACCAGACTATATTTGCCTTACAAATAATACACATAATTACAAGATTTCTAAAAGCCAGTCTTTGGAGCTTTGGTAAAATCAGAATTATATGGTCCATGGAAAAAAATATATGCCGCAATATACTGCTATTTGTTACCGACTTGGATGGCTACATGCCGCATCCAGCAACACATGTACAGCTAGGGGATAACTATGTACCTGCATTTTGAAACGCTACATGCTTTAGACACAGATTAACACCAGGGGTTTTCCTTAGTGACAAAGATTAATGCAAACACAGGCCCAACACACCGAACTCTACAAGGCATGTGGAATAGACAGGTGGTGCAAATTAGACTAAATGACTTCTTCAAAATCAGACCAAAAACAGCCCAGTAACTTAAAATCAGCATTAAAATCAGCATTAAAATCAGCATTAAAATCAGCATGGCCCCCCAAGTTCATACTCCTCAGTCAGAGTCAACCTTAAAAGGGTGATAATCTGGGAGCCCTCCTGGTTATGTACTGTGCTGACATCATACTTGTATATAATATTAATAAATGCATCTTTCTTGAGTGTTTGCTTTCCAAATCATCATAATCAAAATGAGAGAAAGTCAAAACAAAACAGGAGGTCAGAATTATGCTTGTGAAAGATTTATTGACAAATCATTTGGTCCCTTCACAAAAATACTATGATGGGATTGGGTATGTGTGTGTGTGGGGAGGGGAGGGAGATGGGCTAAATCAGGAAATGTGTAGGACAGGGAAGCGAGGGATACAGGAAAACAGGCAACACAACACTGTGGTAGGGCTTCCAGAGACTATTGGGGGGGGGGGGCAGCTTGACATGCACCCCATCCCCCAGCACAGGTTGGTGACATACGCAGGCCCACCAGAAAACTGGGAGCGCACACACACACACACACACACACACACACACACACACACAAGCTCATTTCAGGAGAGGCATCCTGGATCATTAGACAAATGACTTTCTGCTACTAAAAACAAGGCAGGAAATATACCAACCAAAAATTATGCAATTGTGCATATCCAGACCATTGGCAGTAAAGGTAAAAAAAAAAAGCTGTGAGTAAGTTGGAACTGCAATAAATCAGAATTTCAGGGGGTTTTCCCCAAAATATGGGCAGTCTGAGGTAGGCTGAAGGTTTTCTGGCTCTGAACTGATTATCAAAAGAAAGACACTACTGACACTTATAAGTCTTTTTCTTACATACCCATCTGAAATCATCTCATTCTCATGTGATTTTCTGCCTAAAGCTCAGAGTTCAATTACTGGCGAGCATCGAAGCGCGCGCACACACACAGCAGACCATAGACATCCAGAGCCACACCGTGAAATGCGGCATCAACACCACTACAGAGGAGCCACAGCAAGGCTAAGACTACAACCAAGACCAAGGAGACCTGGAGGAGGAAGAGGAGGGAGATCCACCACACGGGCCTGTGCGAGTACGACTGCAGCACCTCAGACAGTGGCTCTAGGTGATCACCATAAACGTTTGAAGGCACGCTCCAACATAGGACCCACAACCAGCTCTGTGAAAACTAACCTAGACGAAACAAGACTACCCTCAAGTAAAATTCATTGGACACCAGGTGGAGAAATACTCCTGTTGCTCTCATGTGCCATGGCTGATACAAGCCATTGTAAAAGCCAGGTTCTAGTCCAGAGATCCTCCTGGTGTCAGGGGGAGGGTCTCTGTACCTCTTTCTCTGCTTCCAGGGGCACCGAGGCCCCTGTGCAGTTTCACTGCCGAGCAATTAAACCTCCGCTCCACTCAGGATTGCAGCACTAAAAACACTTATTAAAAATAAAGCAAGGCTTCAGCTTCCCCACAAACAAGCCACGTGTCAACACAAACATAGGCTCTTGATTATTTTGTACCATTTAAAAAAGGAAAAAGCAAAAGGAACAAGGTTAACGAAAACAACCTTGACATTTCCACAGGAACTATAAAGGAGATGTATAGAACAACCTCAGGCCAGCTTTTAAGGCAGTGGAAATGACTGGACACTTAAAACCCGGTTTCCCCACACTGCATTGACCGTTTCAGTAGCGGGCTTTCCATTTTCCTGACCACACAGTGATTTATGCATTGCATGCATATTTCACAGCACCCGCTGAAATGTAAACCACCATCCAAGCGAATGGAGACGGCTCACTTGACGGCAACGAAAGGGCCGCCATGCCAGATCCCTCGAGAGGCGTCACTTTTCCTGCACTTTTCCCGTGTAAAGTGGCTGGTCACAGGCGTCAGCCTCGGCAAGAGCTCGGGCGTGAACACACGGTGCCTCCACGTGATCCCATATGTCGGAGCAGAGCCAGCCGCAGTGATCACTTCACACGCACAGAAACAGATGCCATGGATGCCGCTCAAGCCTTACTGTTTGCACATGATACATGCTTACATAAGCACTCCCTTCTGACTTCCAAAATCTCTCAGAGTGGATTCAAGTCAATTAACTATATAAAACCAGTCAGGGAAGGAGGCAACAAATGCAGAACAGTCACTGGCTTCCCCTCTGTAACCGAAAAAGTTAAGGGGATTTTTAATTCAGCGACCCTGCCTATCCTCCCCCACCTCTGTGGCCCAGCCCACTCAGATTCAGTGTAGCTCTAAAATTCATCAGTGAATGCAATTTTGAACTAAGTTTTAAAGAGAACATTTCAGGTTTTCAATAATGTTTCAACTTATCGACTGGCTAAGTTGGGAGCTGTGCAGGGGACACAAATCAGCTCTGAAAACACAAATACCTCTGCCCCCTCCTGGACACATCCACAACACCTTCCTCCTTCCAGTTTCAACTCACCCATCGGTATCAGACTCACAGCGCTAGTTTACCGACTTCTCAACTCAGAAAAGCAGACTTTCTACTGACGTCTCACAGTCAATCATCGAACAGATTCACATTGCGTACGTAGCTGGGGACCATTAACCAGAACTTACATTCATTACACGGGAGTCCCACAAAACAAAACAAGGTGAAAGAGAGGATATGAAATATGGCCACATAGGAGCAATGAAATAAAGAACAGCAGCATATCGCTGGCAGAGCAGAGTCAGCCGTGGCGGGATGATAAAGTGCGGACATGGGCAGTGGGTGTGCTGGGGAAGGGAGGGGCGGGTCAGCAGAGACAGACGCGGGCACCTCAGAGGCGAGTGACGGGCGTGACAGAAAAGTTCGCCGCCAGCTTGACTTTGTTGCGAGACGCCCGCTTGGGGCTTTCGGACATGCAGGGCTTCGGGCCGCGGGGCTTGGACCCCGGAGAGGCTGCCCCTGGCTTCGGGGGCTGGTCTTCCTGCACCACTGTGGGACTTTCGCATACATGTGGTGCAGCTGGGTTGAGGTCTGGCTTCTCCACGTTCACTGGGGAGGGCAGGAGAACAGCATCAGTCAGTGCTAAGATCACAAAACAGCACCAGCAGGGGCGGCTTTGCAGATCAAACATAAACCCAGAGGTTCACAGGCTCTGGGTCAAAAAGCAGAGCCAGAAAGTCAGTGTTCGTATCGGTACGCACACACTCACGACATGGGAGCGGATACTTGCTCAATTTCCCCCGATTGATTACTTTAGGAGGAGGGACTACCTTTGCTGCAGAACTGGCAGTAAGTGACACAGCATAGTCAGCAGTCAGTCTCAGAGAACATATCCTGCATAGCACCATGCACATTATTTTACTAGCAAAAACTTCCAGGTACTGAAAATTACACCGGCCCCTTTCCGCTGTGGCGGAAGATCGACACGGCAGGGACCCACCTCGCCTGCCCGGCGCTTGGCAGCAGCGAGCTAACATTTGCCAGGCCGCCAACTGGCAAGAGGTCAGCCGGTGGGGGGGCATTTCAAAAAGCTGCCTACACCCAGGCCTGCTGTCTTGGGGGGTGGGGGGACAACTGGTGAAGTTATCCCAGGCCCAGGAGCCCATTACTAGAAACATTCGAATGATAACAGAAATTCTCATGTTTTATGTCACTCATATCCTTAGCCCAACATCCACATACCATTTGTGTTTACAAAGTGCGTTGTAATAAGTTCACATGTGTTTAAAGCATGTGGGCGTGGTATTTTAAGGCTTAAACTATAAAAAAGTTTATGTATATGGTCTTTCAGTATCGCGGATTTTCCACCTATCGCTGATGGGTCTGGAACGTAAATTCCGCGATAGGCGGGGGATCCAGACCCATCAGCGATAGGTGAAAATCCGCGATATAGAAAGACCATATACATAAACTTTTTTATAGTTTAAGCCTTAAAATATATAGTGATCCCCCGCCTATCGCGGAAGTTACGTTCCAGACCCATCAGCGATAAAGAAAACAAATGGAAACAGCTGATAAACATGGGGAATCCACACGGGGTTAACGAGGGGGCGTGGCACATGGGAGGAGCAGACGATCGGGGCAGGACATACTGCACTTTTAATCAGATTTTTTAGATTTTCTAAGGAATTTTTATTCAAATGAGTTTTTTTTTTTTTTATCTTGTTTTTATAAAGCACATTAATTAAATAACCCCTGTGTATGATAAAAACCTTGCCTTACCATAAGGAGACCGAGAAACGAACAACTAAAAACTATATGCTGGAAACTAAGACATTCACAAGGTGAAAAGCTCTGTAAAAGTAGAAATGTGTTTATTTTATGATAAGATAACGTGAACCAACTGGCTAGTAGTTGCCTTTTAACTGAAAAAATTCACTAGTCAGAGAAAAAAAAAAAGTTACCAACGCACTACATCAAAACATTTACATTGCAATCATGTTTGGCATGAAATAAACTTGTAACTATATCATTCAGTAATACAAAAAATAAAACATACCGTTCACATTGGCCTCAAGAACTAAGTTAGCGCTTGATTCCCCTGCACTTCCTGTTGTGGCTGAGCATGCACCTGACGTCAGTGGCTGAAAGTGCACGTTCTGCAGCCAGACCCTTCTCTCTCAAACTGTTTAACTAGCTGCAGTGATCACGCGATGGGATTTGTAGTTTTATTACCACGCAGACACCGGTGCAGACCAGAAAACACAACCAACGGATTAGTTTTACAGCGTTTTACTATTTTATTTTCTGCGGACAAAGCTTTTTGGGAATGAACGGGGGTATGAATTTTAAGACTTGGGTAAATTAAATTTAAGACCTAGGATGAAAATCTGGGCATTTTTAAGACATTTTAAGGCCTTAAATTTAGCTTTCTGAATTTTAGACTAAGACTTTAAGACCCCGCGGGAACCCTGAAAATAAAGGTCGTTGACGATAACGAAAATTTGTCGTTAAAATTGACACTGGTTCACACGTTTGACTGGAAGTGTATGTAAACATTGGAAAGTCGTCTTCACATCTGTCACACACACACACACACACACACACCCCAGAATACAGAAAAAGGTGTCACTTCATAGGTTTGCTACACTGCATATAAGACAGACTTGTGCAATAGAGCAATACAGAATACAGTAGCATTTAGAAATCTTGGCGACAAATCAGGATTTCATACTTTTGAAATTGGTTGCTTTTCAAAGTTCCATCAAAACATGTCTGGATTTTATAACCGTATGAAAAATTAGACACTGGTCAAGCCTGATACAGGATCACTTCAGAGAACCCACCACTCAACCAGCACATGGAGAATCACATGGAAATGAAGAACAAATACCATGCAGCTCACTGACCGAGGTTCAACGAAGGCTGCTCCTCGAATCGGATCAGGTCTGTCTGCTGCAGCAGAACTGGGTCAGGGTGAAGCTGTGGGGAGGGCAGACAGGAGGGGACCGGCCCACAGAGGAGGTCCACCGGTGACCCCAAGCTCAGACAGAGCAGCTCCTTCTCCACAGTATTGGAGGCTGGAAAAGAAGCCCAAGTCAGCGCACATACAGGCAGTCATACTACAACACGACTACTGTGCTCCTGAAAAACCACACGCTCAGTAACGCTTGTGCACACAGCACAAGTACAAAGGATTAGGCAATGCAGACATGACTACAGATTGCCTGCAGCCGAAGTAAATGAAAAATATTGCTGTGTTTAATGTAAATCGACAAATGTTTTCAGATTTTAAGAATGTAAGCCTAACCTGGGCAATATATGGATGTACACAAAAAGTTTGATTCTTTAATATTTAAAAGCCAGTTCGGCCAATTCACTTAAGAACCAGTTCAAAAGAACAACTCATTCACAAATCGGACATCACTTTCATTCACTTTCGCATGCAAGTAGTGTTTTTTGCTAAAACCACATCACGTTGTAGTTGGCTTAGTGCTGCTCTCCCCAACTGAAAAACCTACTTTCTTGAGGACACACAGCATATTATCTCAACACAGTAAGATTCTCCTGTCAGTACCAAACAGTAGTCACATCCAAAGCGGAACTTAGTTTTAAATAGGCTCTAAGTCATAAGAGAAAGCAGGATTATACCGGAGCTCTGTGATTCAGGATTCCTAGCACTGCCCCCTCCCTCTTTCTGTGAGCTCTCCGTGGTGATCGGGCTGGAGCGCACTGAGGGGAAGGCAGTGAAAAACATATGGGTCTCAGTTTCTCCTGGCATGATGTCTTTGGACTACAAACACCGTTGAGTGATTCAGAGCAAGCTAACCTTTCATGTCATTCTTGAGAACGATAATCTTCTTATGCCCGTGGCCTTTAATCCAGACTACCTGTCAGTAGAGAAGAGAATGTAGCAGGGTCATGGGCACTGCAATCATACCTCCCAAACAGAGGAGCAGTCAGAGACGTGTTGGCGTTGGGCAGCCTGACCTGCGGAATGGCACCTAGAAGCTCGTCCACCGTGCTGTAGCCATATGAATCTGGGAGCAGCCCTTTGCCCGTGAACTTGCCAAAGGCCCCCAGGAACTCTGTCAAGAAGATCTGGTTGTAATGGTAGGTGTGCAGCAGAGCGCGGACACTGCGGGCGAACTGGTAGAGCGGCGTCAGCCCGACCCACTCCTTAGAGGCACCATCCTCACCCTCAAAGAGCTGTAGAGCATCAGTTAGAAACAGATGTAACCACTCAAAAGACCACTTAACACCTTCATTAACGACTTAATGAAATATAAAACCTGAATCGGCTATGGATACCAGCACAAGACAGACTGGGGGTGGGGGGTGGACCCTGAAGGTACCTCAACTAGGTAGGGTAGACTCTTGAGTAGCTCGCCAAGAGAGATGAAGCCGTACTCGCAGGGGTTGAGGGGTGTGCCATGCGTGGCCTCATATTGTCGACTCAGCTCCTCCACTGCGAGAGAGTCCTGCTCTGCCGGCAGGGACATCAGCAGGGACAGGAGCTGGGTGGTCAGCGAGCGCAGGGACTTCCGGCTGATCAGTTGCACCTCTCGCCCTCGGACTCCGTCGACCACCTGGAGAGAGACAGATGCAGGTGAGAATTGACTAGGTAGTTAAAAACAACAGGCAGTGCCTAAGGGGACCCCAGGAAGTTGACGAAAGGGACATCTTCACATCTACTTTTACTTAGTAGAGAATTTTTCCCCCCCAATGCAAGGCACACAATACATTAGCATAAAGCTGTCAAGAGGCTAACAGAGCACAGCCCTGTAACATACAACAGCATTTTTTTTAATTCAGTACAAAATACCCTGCTTCACATTGTGATGTCATTTCAGTGGTGGTACCAGTTTTTATGGCAGCAATAGAGCAAGACCCACGCAAAAAATTAGAAGCTAATGTTAGAAAAACTAGTCAAAGTTGCTGGACACCTTGACCACGTGGCAGAGTTTCTGCAGAAGCCCTGGAACAGAGCTGACGTCGAAATCCTGCAGCTTGAGCCCATAGCCGAAGGTCTTGCTGTACTCTGTCAGGAGCTCAGTCAAGGGGAGCCTGCTGTCCTTCTGAGAGCGCAGGAGCTTCACAAACTGAGCTGCCAGAGCCTTCAGCTTCTCCATCTCCGTCAGACTCAGGATCTTCTCTCCCCCACACTCGAGCACCTGAAACACACAGACACAGAGTGACTGAACCATGCATTGGTGCTTGTGTGGTGATCCAACCCACAGCCAACAAGCACACTATAACCATCTTAAAAATAGATTGCACAATATTTTTTTCTGGTCTGAGCAAATACTAAAATTTGGAGCGTCTTCTGATAGATACCAATCCCATATTTATTCCCCTTTATCAACTATTAAGCATTAACAAGATACATGTATCAATTCATTTCAACTAACATGGCAAACTATCTGCATTTAGTGTTGTAGCAGCACAGTGAGTATCCTAAGAACAAGAAAATATGGCCATGCTCCGCCAAGAAGACATGCCACTCTGCTATAGGAAGCAATCCGTGGCCAACACGATTTACACAAGCCTGCTTTTGTTTTATTCGATAACTTTACAAAAAATATTTTAAGTTAATAAAGAAGTCAATCACAAGAATCACTGTATACCACCAACTAAGCGTTTTTAGTCAAACAGTACACATAAGCCTCCAGTACAATACACACAAAGGATAAAATTTTTAACTAGTAATAAATTCAGCTTTTAAAAGTTTGTATAAAGTATCTAGTTCGTATAAATGTTAGTGTTACAGACTTAAAATCATCACTAGCCTTACATAGATTGCACTCTGCAGTTTTGCTTTTATTTTCCTTCAACGTAGAGTTACTTTTTTTCATGCGGTCGACATGACAGCTCCAACACACATTCATTACGCAACAAATAGCCATCACATGACCCTCACTTCGGTTTACGGTATGTTGCACTAAAGCTACAAGAATTTTCATGACTTTTCAAGCTAGACCTATCAGGTCAGGTTAGGGAGCATGTACTGGTACAGCACGTTGCCTGCTAGACCCACCTCTTACGAAATGCCATCTCTATACATCAAGAGTAAAGCCTGGGCACCTATTGGCTGGAAGGCGCAGGACCACAAGCACAGACACAATAAATCAAGCAGCATCAACAGCAGCAGTGGCGATCTCAGAACCCACCAGAAGCACATCAGGAATAGCCTCAAAGAGCTCAATGAGCTTGGTAAAGCCGTAGTAGGAGAGCTTGCACTGGCGGCCAAAGTGATGGTGGTATGAGGGGATGAACTTGCTGAAGGGCATGCGGCAGTGTGGCTGGTGCCGGAGAAGGTCCACCACCTCCTTGGCAAATTGTTTGGTCCGCTCCACCTCTTCTGGGGTCCTCTCTGAGTGGGCAAGACAATCAAGGCATCCAAAAGAATATACAGACCAGTGACCGACAACTACCAACAAAAAGGCATAGGACCTCTGTTCTGACCTCTCTTGGGAATGGAGATGATGGTGTCTGTGTCTTGCAGGGTGATTGTTATCGTTGTATCGGGTATTTCAGACAGCAGGTCCATCAGGTCACACATGCCATACTCAACCACACTCCAGTCTCTAGAGAAACACCTGAGCGTGGAAGCATCACATCTCAAAACTGGCTGGCACCACACACCACACCACCTTTCCAAGTTGTCCAAACCAACCTCACCAAAGGCAATTAATGCTTAAAATGGAGCCACACTTCACATCCCACCCAGAAAATTTCTTCTATTCTCAACATGTCCATCTCACACATATGAAATATAATTCTCTCTTTAGAAGATCATGTCAGTGACCACAACAGGAACATTCACACTACACAGACCAACATGGGCAGGACCACTGACAGCACAGACATCTTGCCCCATGGCACTAACCAGTGGTAGGCTTGCATGAAGTCCCGGATGACTACTTGCTTGCTGACTTGAAACTTGAGCAGCTTGAGCAAATCCTGCGTGAAGCGCTTGACCTGTGCGCGGTGAGTCAAGGTGAGTAGCCGTTTGGAACCCATGCCAAGGATCTGTAAGCCACCACACGTCCACGTCCCATCAGTATCGCCGCGACACCCGCATGCTTGTCACATCACACACCAAATGCCTTCTTCAGGTAATCCATATAGTGTCTACAAGGCTAGTACTGATAGCAGCCATAAACTGTACCCGGTCCAGAAAACCTGGAGCGTGAGCACCGAGGCACAGGCATCACCTGCCGAGCAACGGCTCTGACCTGCAGCACGTGGGGAACGGCCTCCAGAAGCTCCAGCAGCTTGGAGTAACCATAGTCAGAGACGCGACACTGCTTGCCAAAATGGTGGTGGTAGGAGGGAATGAACTTGCTGACAGGCATGATGCAGTGGGGCTGGTTCTTTATGAGGTCGACCACCTCCCGGCTGAACTGGATCAGCTGCGGGTTCCCCACAGGACTCTTACAGCGCTGTACCCAGGGGTCTGCATGCGGGGGGTACATGTTAGCAGGTCTACACCATCATTCATGAATACTGCGAAGCACAAACTTACAGATCACTGCAGAAAGACACCTATGTCACGTCCGGCTGCAAAGGGGTGTTCCGTAAGCGATATACTCTGAAGTGTGATCAGAAGGGCAGACCGTGTAAGGGTGTAGCCTGGGAATACCTGCATTAGGAGGGGGCGGTTTGTTGTGGATCCACTTGACGACCTTGAAGCCATTCTGTGCTGTGACAATGTTGACACCAGGGATACAGGTGATCAGGTGCTCCAGAGGAATGCCTCCCTCCAGCTCTCCTTCACCCAATGCTATTGGGCAAAACTCTGCTGCGTAACACTCTGGGAAGCTGGTCAGACAGCATCAAGGTGACCAGTTAAAACTGGGTACAGGAGATCCACAAGATTGGAGAGCTGTCATCTAGTGCAGGTTACCTGAGCAATGGCACCGTGCCCTCGTGTGTCTGCAGCAGGCTGTGCACCTGGGCAGCAAACGGCTTGAGGGGCAGCATCACCAACGGGATCTTGTAGGAATCCGGGTCGAAGTCAGACTCGCTGTCAAGACAGATGAGGAATAAGGCGGCAGGAAAGCCTCCGACGGTGACCGCTGGGGGAGACGACCCTAAGGCCCAGTACCTGAAGACGCGCTGAGAGTGGTGCTGCCTGCACACGGGCTCATGGTACTCGAGCTCCTCAAACACCACAGGGCTGCCACTGGCTGAAGACCCATCGTGGGACTGCGATGAGCCCAGGGGGCTCTGGCGGGCCTGGCCACTGGGGAGAAGGCAGACCAACCGAGAACCACCCTGGTCCCTCACCGCCAGCACCTCGTTCAGCTTGTACAGGTCGCTCACCGCCAGCTTACGGCTGAACCTGTGTGTGTAGTAGAGTAACGCAAAACGCAACGTGATGTAAATTAAGGTAACACCATGGAAGCTATTTATTTATGCCTCCATTTGTTCATCAGCAGCATTCGAGTACAAAAGCCCTCAATACATTTATTTCCTTCTGTTCTTTGTTGTGGTACTTTGGGAGTTTGTTATGCTGACCCAAAGGGGACAGAATGTAGCCAAATAGCAGAGATAGTCTGGCCATGAAAAGCTGTCTGGATGTACCAGTAAAATTACCAGACATTTCCTAAAATTATTTTTATTTTTTTATATATTATATAAAAATTAAAAAGCCTACAGAAAATACAGCTGAACAGATTTCAACAGGGAAAACTGACATGACCATGCAGTACCCAGGGTTTCCCCAATGCAGTATGGACAAATTTCCTAGTGTAGGGCTGGGCAATCTTACCCAGAAAGGGCCGTCGGGTTTGCAGATTTTCTCTGCAACTGCCCGATTATTAAATTAGAGGACTGATCGGCTAAAAAGTCCTCACACCAGCCGACCTAAGATTGCTTACCCCTGCCTTAGTACAGAAAGAGAACCGTGACATCAGAAGCATTTAAAAACCCATATAAACTAAAAGCAGGAAGGCATCTTACTTTTTCTCGTAGATCTCAGTCAGTTTGAAGAGGGGCAGACAGCATGCTGGCGAGTCGTGGAGAATGCTGATTATTTCTGAGCTAAATGCAAAACAGAGCCTCGATTACAGGATGCAGAGGCAGAGCAGATGGGGGTTAGGGGGTGGGCGCATACCTGAGCGGTGCCAGGGACCTACTGCTGGTCCCGGTGAGGAGGGAGACGTGCACGCGCTTGGTGCCGATCTTGTGACGGTGCAGGTTGCTGACGGCAGTGACCGCTTGCTGCAGGGAGCGCATCTGCACGGTGGCCCTCAGCTGGTAGTCTGTGTGAGGGCTCAGCTCCACACTCCGCACCTGCTCCGAGGAAAAACATCTAGCACCATGCAAGCGGGCATCCCGCACACATCCACCCACCCCGCCAGCAGCGAAGGAGGTGCCCACCCGGCCGTATTTGGAGAAGGTGCTGTGCAGGGTCTGCTGCAGCTCCTTCCGGGACATCCTGTAGTCCATGTTGGCCACCAGGATGTCCACGCCATCAGAAAAGGGCTCCGGGGAGGCATCTGGGTGGGGGCTGCAGGATGGCACCGTCAGGGGGGAGGAGCGGCTGGACAGGCAGGGGGACGCGCTCCTGAAGGCAGGGGGTGACAGTGAGGGAACGGGACCAGATTAGGAAGGACGACCAAGCAGTGGGAATGTGCAGACTGACAGTGACCCATAAGCCATTGTACTTACATAGCGGCTGAAAACCCACCTGGAGGACCAAGAGCCTTGGGACAGGATAAGAGGGCTGAAGGTTTTCTGCAGACTGAGCTTGCTGAAGGCCGAGGGTGTGCTGACCTGGAACTCTGCACCACTGCGGTCCACTGGAGAGTCACACATGCTGTGTCTCCTGTGGTCAAGGGGGTGGAACCAAGTCACCAACAGAAGCTCAGAAATCCTCTCAGGAAAACAGCAGCCTTCACTTACCGGCGGCCTCGCTCTCCCACACTGTCCGATTTTGATGAAAGCTGGATTGGGATGTCGTTATTCAGAGGGGAGACCGAATCGCCACGGATCTTTTTCTCCAGTTGGAAAACTTTGGGTTTGGGCTCAGTTCTGCACAGATCCTGGGTAAGAACACAGGACACAATAATGCTGAGTACCTAATGGAGGGAGTAGCACTGCCCAGGTACTAGAGCATGGAGCAACAAATCAGCCTACCCAGCTCAAAAAGAAAGAAAACGCTCGACTTGGAGACATACAAGGAGAGTATTAGACAATCAGGATAAAATAAGGCCACCATCACAGTGATCTTAACATGCTTCGCATAACCGGGGGCTTGCTTTTACTATTCTTCAAAATCTACCACCAGAAAAAAAAATAAAAAGGAAAAGATGAGAAGCAGATGAATGAGAAGCAAAAGGATGAGGCAGCATTCAGCAGGGTGGCCCACGGACGGAGGGGGCACAAGCGGATGAGCTGGGATGAGGCAGGATGGCGCGAAGCAAATGGTAATGGGCTGTTGCTGGCAGACTGCTGACCTGAAGGCTCCGTCCCACAGGGCCTCCAGGTGCACCCCCCACCTTCCTGGAGGCACCGCTGAGCTCGGGGGGGCCCTGGCACAGCCGGGCGATGCGGCCCAGCCGCCTGGGTGAGCGTGGCTTCTCTACGGGGACGAAGACGGCGGGAAGAGGCCCGGAGGCCTCCTCGGCGCGGGGGCAGAGCGACACGCTGATGCGGCTGCCGAAGACATCCTCGTTCTCCATGCGCTTGCTGGCGCGCTCCGCCGCCTCCCGGCTGCCGAAGCGCAGCACTGCGCAGCCGGCCGAGATGCTCAGCACCTTGCCGCCGCAGTTATCGGACAGGCGCCGCAGCCTGTTGGCCAGGCTCTTCCCATCACGGTTGGTGGGCAGGTTGGACACGTACAGCAGGGTGAAACAGGGCTGGTGAGAGCAAGAAAGACAGGGGCCGCCGATTCGCTGCCATCCAAGACCCGCCAGGAGACGTCAGGAGGAACCCGTCGGTTGCTTCCGGATGGAAGGCTCACAGAGGTCGCCATATATCCCAATGAACTGGCCCCCCACGGCCCCCGGCTCACAGGCCACAAGGCAGGAGAAAACGACACGGAACGACCCTAAAATCCACATTTCTTAATCACCTCCAACCTTAACCGTAAATGATGTCTCAAGCTGGGAAATACAGAATGCCAGACTAGAGAGCAGGTAGAAGAGGTTGTCGTCGTCATCATCATCATTATACATGTATTGCTTGACGGAGGACAAGTGTGCGAAAATTTCATCGATTGACATTAAGAAAAATTCCTGTGTTGTCTGCCCTCTCTCCAATGATTCCAGGAAGTAAGGAAAATGCTACATCAACACAAAAACGCATCTTTCGAATTAGGGGACAGTGTCCGTTTAATGCAGCTTGGGGTCAGAGCGGAAAGGGAGCCTACCTGGGGTTTCAGCGGCACTCGCGAGGGCAAGTCGGCCACCAGGTCTTCGAAGGCCACATGTTGGTGCGCATGCTGCAGGAGAGCTTCAGATGCCTGGTTCTTGTGCACTAGGATCACGCGAAAGCCATGCCTGTGCCGCAGGTCGCTCAGTTCACTGCCGAAGTTCACATCGGCTGCAGGGACAGGCGGGGGTTAGCAGGGGGGCCCACGGTACCTGCCCCCACGCCCAGAGCAGGACAGCACACTCACAGGAGACGAGGACCACGGTGGCCGGAGCCGTGTGCGTATCAGCGAAGCGCCGCAGGCTCTGCCTCAGCTTGTCATCCGCCGCGTTCTTGGCTGTGGCGTTGATGTGAGCCACCGTCACCTAGACAACCAGAGTGCACACTGAGCAAAGCGGCGGAGGCCCCGACGGTCACCAAAGCCCACGGTTCAGGTCGTCGCAAGGGCAGCACCTGGCAGTTGTTCAGCTCCTGAATGACCTCTTTGCTCTCCTTGCTGATGTCGCAGACGCAGATAAACTCAGCCTCGCGGTGACCCAGAAAAAAGCAGTTGCGGATCCTCTGCACCACAGCCACGGCAGAGCGGCCGCTGGGCACCGAGCAGTTCTCGATGTCCCAGAAGACGCCCACGGGTGGGAGATTCTCCTGCAGTCCACTCTCTGGGGAGCCTAGGCCACGAAAGTGGACAAGATAGGGTGTTGGAACTCGTAGCAGGAACCATAGGGGGCTCAACCTCCGAGCACAAAGGCTAAACCGGCCGGACCTACCATGTCTCTGACCGCTTTTGCCAAGGCTCGTTCCCACCAGCAAAAAGCTATCAGCAGAGGTCCCAGTGACACCACAGCCATTGCACATAGGAACAGGTATGGGGGCAGACTTGGCAGGTGGAGGGGGGACGTGGGGCCATGTTTTTTTTGTGTCTTTAGCTACACTCATGGCTGACTGGAAGGAAAGGGCAAAGAAAGTTTATAGCAGCGACCTGAAAACAAACAATGACTGCAGAGCAAGTGCCAGAACTAGCAAGTAAAGACATGAAAACAACCCATCCTTATGTGAACAAAGCAGTCGAGAGATTCAGTGCTGGGAAACTTAGCATTTTTAAAATTACACATTCTATTATTCATCCAAATATGAAAATACAGCACTGAAAAATCTGCCAGATGGACCCAAGCATAAAAGACATGGAGGGAATCACAACCCGGCCACACAAGTCAGAAAAATAGGAAAAACAGCACAAACCTTGGACAGACATTCACTGCAGTAGTGAGCGCCCTTCAGACAAATTGTGTGCTCGACATTTAGGTGCAAAGGATTGGTGCAAAGGTGCGTTGAGGTGGAGACATCACCATGTGTCGGGAAGTGCTGGTCCCCTCTAGTTCCAAGGCCACACTCCACGTAATACCCGGAGGAGGCCACACAGCTCCCATGCAAGGGTGCGGAGACAGCGGGAGCAGGGGGGAGGAGCTTGGGCTGGCCACAGCCCAGAGGAAAGGTGGAGTAAGGATGCAGGGGCTGCAGCAGCCCCGTGCAGCATGGCAGGTGTTGGTGGGATGCCAGGGGCTGCGAGGTGGCCACCAAAGGCAGCGGCAGCTCGCAGCCCTCCGGGGGGTGGGCCTGGGTATAGGCCTCAGCCACGCTGGGGTAAGGGTGCCGCAGGGGGGGTCCCACGGGGCAGCTCATCCCGGCACCAGCATCTTCAGCTTTGGCAATGAGGTGAGAGGGCCCCCCTACACCGCCACCACCTCCAACACCGACACACCCCAGTGCCCCGCCAGAGTGCCGTATGTCGGACCCCAGCCGCAGCCCACTGTCGCAGTGGCTGCACGTGCTTACTTTGGGGCCACCGGTCGGCTGCTGCTGCAGGGATTCCTGCGGCGGAAGGCAGGGACGGGGTGGAGGAAGGGAAGCCGCGTGGAAGGCTTTGGAGGAATTGTGATGTGGAGGAGGGGGCACGTCCTTCAGCTCCAGTACAGGCTTCCTGTTTTCCATGTAAACTTTCTGTGGGAGACAAACCAATATCAAATTGGGGCTCTGTGGTTAGCACTGCAGCGTCACACCTGCAGGGCTGGGGGTTTGAATCCCCCATCCTGACTCTATGCAGGTTTCCTCCAGGAGTCTCTGGTGTCTCTAAATCACCCTTAACACGTGACTGAATCTGATTGAGATGGACAGGAATCCTGTGCAGGGTCCCCAGTTATGAAACACGGATGACTTCTGCAATGCAGAGTTTTGTACCTTAAGACTACAGCAATATTTGGAAAGTTTGCTCATTTCTGACAGCAACCAGTGACCTGCAGCCAAAATAGACCATTGACTGTCATGTCTGAGCCTTAACACCAGCTTCCTTTCCCTTCCATGTATTACAGGCAATCCAAACAAGTCAAGGGTACTTCAGTCTGTGTAATGACAGTGTGATTTTCTCTTACAGGAAAAGGCAACAGAGGCAGTGCAAACACACCCTTCCCATCAAATCATGTACACTGCACTTCATAAATCCTCATCACATTACTCAGCGAAACAATTCCTGTTCTGTTCCTTATTACATATAGATAACATATTTGTAAACTACGTCTGAGGAGCTAACGCAAACATCTCAGCATTCAAGGCACCAATCTTGTGAACTGAAAGTGAAACAACCCTGATTTATGATTCCCAGCTAATTGCACAGATTGAAGGTGAAGAAACCAACCTTCTGGCAGCCAAAAAGCGTCATCCCGTAAACCCTATAAAAAGGGGTAAGCTTGGTAGGCCCCTGAGGGAGAACTTCACTGCAGAGTTAGGGCGACGTTCTTTGAAAGCAAGTGAAACAAAAGCCCAGCAGGAAAATTAAACTAAAATCCTGAAGGAACTGCTCTCAGACATACAGCTGAGGTTCAGGAAAATCATCCTGATCAAAATTAAAATTAACTCCAAGGACTTTGTTTGAAGGATGATTATCTCAACAGCTTACCTGTTTATCTTTGAGGGGGTTGGTTTGTTCGAAGGAAGAGAAGCAATTGGAGAGATTCCAGAGCCTGGAGGGGGCCTCATTCTCTGAGTTAAGCCATTTGAAGGGCCTAGAACTGCAAAAGGAACTTTCTTTTCCCAAACTTTCCATTGTCCAACCTCACTGGAGAACTCACCATCCTCTCATCCAGCTTGTTACTCATACTTCCCTGAAAAAAGTATATAAAAATCCCATGAACATCACTTAGCAAAGACTAATGTACAAGTCATACAGCATAAAACAGCAAAATTATACCGAAACATCTAACCTTACATCAGTTAGTAGTATAAATTAAGTTACTGAGGGAAGAATCTCCTACACATAAAGAACACTTAAAATGCACCAACTCCCCATAATCCCTACTATATCTTGGCCTGATATATTAAAGTAAGAAATCCGTTTGCCAAACCATTAAATCAAAAAGCAAATTTCCCACCCCACTTAGTCGGTTTACCGTCACGCAGAAGAAAACAACTTTCCTAGTAGGCGTCCGTGTTATTTTAATGCCAAACATTTCACAAATAGCCGAGTTCCTGGTAGTTCTAGCTATCGAAATTAACTAACCGGCCCACATACCTGGTCACCGAAAAATCTCTTAAAAACATACAAATGAAACTCGACACAAAGGAAGTTAACACGGCTGCTGGCTCCCGTGAACTTGTGAAACCTAACAAACGCTGCTCGTCGGCTATCCTCCGCGTCCGATACACGGCCGACGCGCCATCAACACAAACAGGTTACCTCACAGCTGACAACAGCTCTCACTTTCTAGTTGCTCGATGGCTAAGCGCGCAAATCGCGTTTTCAGACACCAGCCTGTAAACAACGCCTCTCTATGGCTCGATAACGTCCTTAGTTTTTAGCAACGCTAGTTCAGCGACAAATGACTTCCTTTGACTAAGTTAATATTGAGATAATAACACAAACCTTTTTTCTATTTCTTCACATCCCCCTCCAGGGACTCCTGCTTTCTCCTTTCTATCTCCTTGGAAACTGGAGCCGTTTTCTAACCTACATATGCCACCAAGAGAACACCAAGTGTCGTAAATCGCGAACACTGCCGCAAAACCTAGGACTCCGTAGTCCGGTCACATCGTCTTCTCAGTGGAAATCGCACCTAGTTGCGTACTTCCAAACACAGGTTTGATTTGTCGGCCTTGGAGTATATCTCGATTGAACTGTCAAAGTCATTAAATGACCAGTCACTTATCTCACAAACAAACAGACCTTGCCCAAGCGATTCAGTCATGTTTGAATACACCTGCTTTAAAACCGTAAATCGACACCACATACATCCCATCCGTAATTGTTATCAGATTTTAACTTATCTGGTTGTGCTCTATACATTCAGTCAATACTGGAACTGCACCCATAATGGTTACAAATGTGAATCTTCAATTACGTACAACTGCCCGATCTCGAGCAAATCGCTCACCCCACGCCACTGAACGTTACATTTATATATGGGAACAAAATTCCTTCTTAATTCTTGTATTTAAACGCTTAACTAAAATCGCTTGATGCATATATTTGCGAATGAAAATTACAATATTGCACGATTTCTGCCAGGATTTCAACAGTAGTACAGTACTTCCGCCTCTTTCACAATGCAAAATTGAATCATTCAGTCCAAAATATAAAAGCCTGTCGTTTTCTGTTTTGGAAAGTTCATTTATGGCAAAAGTCCTTCGGTTTATGGTAAAAGTAAACGGATTAGTTTTGGACCACACAGACGTTCTTACTTGGTATACAATGCTAGGCGTGGAGCTCCTCAATGCTGATAGGCCCATGGTGCCTCCGCGGGCCGTCTCGTCATGGCCGCTCGGCCAATCGTGTGGCTTCCTGTTCCGCCTGCGACGGTTTGGATTCGGACGGTGAAGACTGGGTGGCTGGCAGCTCCGTTCGGTGTCCGGTCGCGTACTTTTACGTATATTGACCATCAAAAGAGTAAGGCAAAATACTCTCTTGCCGTGTGCTTTCGTTGTAATTTAGTGCTGTAAAATCGCTATGTTTGCACGTTGAATATACCTCAGATGGGCTGCTCCGCGGCTCTCGCTGGTTGGCTAGTTAGCCGGGTTTTCGTAGATTGGCTAAACGGCTGGTTTATAGCGGTTTTAAAATGTTAGTCACGTCGGTAATATAACGGTATTCCGTTCGTCGAGTGAAATTATATATCAGCTAGTTGTTTGTTTACGCGTCCTTGAAGGGTAGTTCGACATTGTCAGCTGGTTGCTAGTTAACAGAAGTTTACATTTTACTCCGTTGACAACTTACTGGCTAGGCTAACTGGGTGCTATGTGCTGATGAAAATATAATTATCTGTCAGCTGTGGTGTTAACCTGTGTTTTATGATCCTAACAGCATAGATTTACGGTCCAAGAGTGCCGTGTAACACCGTATAATCTTACCAAGGATTTTATAAAATAATTTTCCATTCTTGTTTTGAATAACTCTTCTCGTTGTTTCTTCCTTTCAGACTGTACAGTCGTCCCTACAATAACGATTTCCTAACTTAAATGGACGACTCCAAGTCGCTAAAGTTTTCCTCCATACAGGAGGAATTATCTTACTGGAAGGAGCAAGCATCTAAACACAAGCAGAGGTGGGGAGAAGCATCCTGGTTTTCAGAGCATACACACAGATTCCTGGATAATTTTCTGATTCTGTTCTGGTGTTAAGGGAAGTCTTCTCTATGGTTAAAAGGTGCCTGATTTACTTTCTAACCTGGTTAACAAGGCAGCACTCAACATGTAGTGCAACAATACAATAAACAGTCAGTCACACTCTGTATCTATCCTATTGTTACACTACATGTTGATTGCTGCCTGTATAGTCTGCAAGAAGGCATGCAAGTAAGAATTTCATTATTTTTTGTACCAGTACACTTTTCATGTGACAGCCGTGAAACTTTAGGCACATGGTTCTCCTGCTCAGAGGCATGTCACATTCCAGTGGCAGTGTGTGATCACTGCCCTCTGTATGCCCAGTGCTGAGGAGGCGCAGGAGGAGCTGCATGAGTTCCAGCAGATGAGCCGCGACTATGAGGCGGAGCTGGAGACCGAGCTGAGACAGTCCGAGGCCAGGAACCGCGAGCTGCTGTCACACAACAACCGCCTGCGCATGGAACTGGAAAGTTACAAGGTCAGCCCTTCTGTATATGCAGCCTGTCATTGTTAGTGCTGATTTGGCTCAGCCTGACGGCATCTTTGGTTTAAAGACTTGCTCTGCTTTACTTAAATGCTTTGACCCATGTGGAATGTTCCCATCTATGTTGTCGAATATATGTATCAATGCATGGATCATATCAACTCCTTGAAAAAAATTCAACACTACTAAGCATTTAAGATTATGCTAACTGTTTAAGTTATTTTTTCAGCATTAGTGAAAGGCCTTACAACCAGCAGCCATGCTGTAGTGACCGGTTTGTCTAGAGTTACAGGTCACTTCACAGTGACTTCAGTTAATATTTCATTGAGATATGTAAGGAGTGTGTTTTGTTGTGGTGAGATTCCCAAAATCAGCAGTGAGCGGGACAGCGTGGATGTGTGGGGCCAGTCAGCCGCTGAGTGCCCAACTCAGACACAAACAGTCGCTATTCATAGACACAGCCAACAACAGAGGCCTAGTTGAGATCCGCGGAGGCAGCTGATAGTTATTTCTGTTCTGGTGTCTGGAGGGGAAATGCTGGAATATTGAAATTAGTGAATGTGCGATTGTGCTCCCTGTCCTTGTGGTCCTACTCATGGCCGATTTTCATTTAAATTTTCCAGAACGTCTTGAATTGAGAGTGATGATGGAATGGCTTCCTCTGCTAGTGCAACGATAGGCTGTAGATTGAATTCAGACGTACTTTGTCTCCCAAAAACAAACCCTTGGATGTTTTCAAAATTGTTTTCTTTTATGTGTTGATTGGATGGCAATGCTTTAACTATATTTTCATTGGAACTTTCAGGAAAAATATGAGGCCCAGCATTCTGAAGCTTTCAGACAAATCACCACATTGGAAGGGGACCTGGCCGAGACCACAGCCATGAGGGACCATCTGCAGAAGTACATTCGTGAACTGGAGCAGGCCAATGATGACCTAGAGAGGGCCAAAAGGTGAGCATGTCTCTGCAAGCTTCTTATCATCCATAGAGTTTTGTGTTTTTGGGTTGTAATCTAAAGCTATGTTACCTCCTGGTTCATCAAACTGCTTTCCTCAGGGCCACTATCATGTCCTTGGAGGACTTTGAGCAGAGGATGAACCATGTGATCGAAAGGAATGCCTTCCTGGAGAGTGAACTGGATGAGAAGGAGAACCTGCTTGAGTCAGTACAGCGGCTGAAGGATGAAGCCAGAGGTTGGTAGCATGGTACTAGGCACATGCTATAAGGGTTTTACCCCCCCCCCCCATTGTGAGGAGCCTAAGGACCTCTTGGAGCTTATGCTAAACCCGTACAGTAACCACAATTGCTGACTGCACCTCCCAAGCTTTATAATTCAGCCTTTTGAATTTTTGTGGAATTTCTGTTTCTAGTGTAAATTTAAAGTCACTTGGTGTATAAACCTCCTTTAAATGGGGTTGCTATAATGTAGCATGAATCTGCAGGCCCATTGAGGTGGTCAACGGAAGATTGCGGTTCTCTCAGGCAGTGCCACCAGATGGCGCTACTGAGCAGGTTATCCGACAAAGTGTACGTGTACACCCTCTTTGCAGACCTCCGTCAGGAGCTGGCAGTGCAGCAGAGGCAGGACCGGCGTCCATCCCTCGGCCTGTCCAAGGATGCAGAGAAAAGCGAGTCGCTGTCACGCCCCCCCTCTGCACTTCCCGCCACCCCGTCGGGTGCACGTGGCTCTGCCAGCACCTTTACCACACCCCCGGCTTCTTACCGTCGAGGTCAGAGCCCACGAGCAGCTGCCTGCTTACCGCGGTGATATGGGAGGATAAATGCTGAGCCTCAGAGCTGAGCGGTTTTTCTCCTCCCGCGGTACATTTCAGCTAATTGGTAATAAGTGAGCTACAGGCTGCTAGATGTTCTGTAGTGACAATGTCTTCTGTATGCAGGTGATGGCCTGACAGGAACCCCCCTTACTACATCCGCCCGAATATCAGCACTTAATATTGTTGGGGAACTGCTGCGGAAGGTTGGGGTAAGAGCAGCTAGACCTGAGCTTCATCAGACCTTTATGTATTACCATTGAAACAGAAACAGGCTGGTCATTCTACCATTGTAATGTTAAATGCATTCAGATCTGATCATTCTTTATTGCTTTTCATGCTTGTTTATAAATGTTATCCATTCAACACATTCCTGTTAAATCCACCACAAGAGGCGGTGTGGCTGACTTTGCTTTTGGAAATCAGATTGTTTGTTTTGTGCCGAAGGGTTCAATATGGCAGTCTATGTTTTCAGAACTTGGAGTCCAAGCTGGCTTCCTGCCGAGACTTTGTGTACGACCAGTCACCAGGTCGCATGGCACTAACTACGGGCCCCGGGACAGCTACTACTCTGCGGGAGCCTCAGGAGAACTCACCCAGTGCCAGCAGCCTGCCTCTGTTTGACAAAGGGTGAGTCGCCTCTGTTAGAGTGGGTTTGTGCTACATGCAAGGTTGGGACATTGTGTGATTTACAGGGAGAGTCTTTGCTTAAGCACATATACCATGTGCTTATAAAGTCTGAAAGAAATAATGGAGTAGTACAACTTTCCATGAACTTTTAACAATGCATTTGATCTAGCTTGGATCCTCGCACACTGGTGATAATTGAGCTGTCAAAGGGCTTCTCTTAATCTTTCTCTTGTGTAAAAAGTGCATGTTACAACAGCTGTTTCCTTTACAGTTACAGCTTTTGGCAGGAACCCAGAGGTCCCTCAGCTTTCGCAAATTGAGGAAATAATGCTCACTGTATTTCCTGGGGTATTTTAATGAATTTGTTTTGAGATTAGTGGCATTTATGATCTCTTGCCTTTGCGTTGTGTGATGGAGAGAGAGCTTTATTTTCTGCAACTTGTACTCTCTTGTGTTTTCAGCTTGGTGAAACGGTTGGATTTTGGAGCAGCGCCCTCCAGTGTTGCCTCCCAGGCAGCGCAGTCTCCACAGGGTGTGGTGAAGATCTTGCTGTGAGAGCGTGTGTGCCGCCCTGCCTCAGAAGGAATCTGCTGCATTTCTCCTTTTAACATCCTCATGCTTTTATCAAAGCTGTGGTTCATCCAGTTAGTGTCTCCATGGGGCTGATGGCGGGTACTAAACTACTAAAACCACAAACAATGGAATGTGCTAGAAAACCTGATGTTTCACTGCTCCGCAATAATCCTGTGTTCAGCCGCGCCCCCCTCCAGGACCCACTGGAGTGTATTGAAGATCTGCTTTCTGCCACTGCTGCCTTTGCTTTAATGACTCTGGACCCCAAAGCTGTCAACCTCAGTCCCTCTGGCCACCTCTCTGACTCTGCAGAGGCTGATGTCAGCACAGAGAGCCAGGATACCTCCAAGGTCATCCAACAATGCCTGAGGAGGATAAGTTCTGGCTGATGGAAGCATTCCTCCTGTTTTAGTGAATGTCCTGGTCTGTACTAAAACACCACATAAGGTGTAGAAACAGGAGGAAGTCAGACTGTCCGGATATAAAGCACAGGCTCTGCCCTTTGATCTCTGCTCACTTTAATGTGAGGCTCATACTGCCTGTCAAGGCTGCTTCTAAAGCCTTTCTGTTGCATGTTGCCTAGATTATTAACTACTGATCAGATTGTCAGAGCCAAATGGTGATGTCAGAGAATGCGGTAGTTTTACAAGCAGTAGTGACTGTTTTGTGAACTTAGCTTCTGTTTCTGATGGAACAGAATAGCCAAGCAACGTAGTGTTTCAGTAGGAGTTATTCAATCTGCACAGAGCAGCTCGATTACCATATCATGACCAGGTCCTGTGTAAACTGGTAAATGCTTGGTGTCAATAAACCACATATATATAATGCAGAGACTCAGCTGTGGCCACCAGCTGCAAGTTAGAGCTTGAAGTGTTGACCTGGTTAAATAATGTTGATGCTGTGTGACAAGAACCACTTACCTGGCTACCCTTTCATAGAAAACATCGCCCTGCCTTCAAACACTGAGTTAGGCTTACTGGAGTATTTCTGGTGTGAGACCATTTTGCACTGCTTATGATTGATCTGTCTTTGGGACTGGCATCTTTGTTTTTCTTTCTCCATATGTTCTTATCTGTAGACACAGTTGTGGATCATACGCAGTGCTTGCTAAGTGGTAGATCCTGATTTAAGAATATATAATGGATTAAGAAAATCATGTGACAAAGCAATACACTGGGCAGTACATGTTTTAATAAAATATATTACCCTTGTACAGTTTTGAAGGGGATACTGAGGTGCAACACTGCTTAGTTCAATAAATAGCCATGCAATGTATTATTGGAATATTTCACTATGGCGACAGTTTTGGTTAAAAAGGATTATCTTTTGTTACTCTTATACATTATAAGGCATTTATGTGTACTTAGTATCATGGGGTGCACTAAAAATAAGGTCACCAGTAACTAAGCAGTATCAATTTTAATCTCTCTTTTACCCATAAGTAGACAACCTCAGAAAACATGTCTGTGTGACTCAGAGCTGGACAAAGTTTCTTTTCTATACAAAAATGGCCATAGGCCACATGTCTAGTTTGACATTTGAACAATTTATTGTGAAGATTATTGGGAGTTATGCGTGTTAATCGTGTTTCCTCTCCTGAAGAACATTGTACTGACAGGTTTCAGGTAGCAATACATCAATGTTCTGGAGCCAATATATTTTTTATTTTCTACTGGAAAAGGTTTTTAAATGGCGGTTCTTTTATAATTTTAGACATCTAACTGCTTAGTCAGAGAATGTCACGTTTTGGTTAAAAAAGGCATTTAAAATTACTTTAGCTTTTGCTTCTTACTGAGGGTACTAACAGAAAGTAGATATAGCATGTAGAATAGAGGCTGGGTCGTTACAGTCCGCAGCTCAGGGGCACAGTTCATCTTTGCACTTTTAGCAGTGTCTGCACAAAAGTAACAATAATTTGAGGTTTAAGTAGGGAATTATTTTTCTACAGATTTGGCTGTTCGAGAACAAGGAAGACCAAGCAGCTCTTACGTGTGTCCTTTGTGCATCTTTAGGTGATAATGCTATTTAGGAATCACCAGATAAAAACGAAATTTGGTTATAGAGTGAGTGTGGCATCCACACCATCACGCATAGGGGATTCCTGCTTTTCTCTATGTACCTGAGGTGCTGTATCTAGTAACAGCAGTTTGGTTTGCAAACATTTTTATACCAAAATGTGTACATTAAAAAAACACTCCACAATCTGTGAGCTATAGTGTGTCATTCTTTATGGGGGAAAACGGCTGAATAGGGTATGGGTGTGAGACTGGGACACACACGTGAGAGAAGAAGCGGCTGGGTTGTGTTGACACACTTTATTTTACGTGCAAGTGGTTCACAAATACATTGCGATAAGTGACATGTTAATGTCAGTTTAATCGAAGGAAAATTGGGGTAATTCAACTGGAATAGTGATCAGTACGTGAATCTGTGTTATATCTGAACAAATACATTTTAAAATATTAATGTTCTAATAAGGTTGCATTGATTATTTGGTAGTTACATTCTTTGAAATGCCTGACCCAATAAGAGGAGGGGCATTCTTTTTCGTGAAATTCAAAGCCTAGATTACTAAATTTACAACATGGTAATGTATTCTTTGAAAGGATATTTTGTTCCTAACCATTGCAGCATAAGCTTTTTAAGGCACACAAAATACATCCTAATTGTTATGAATTTAATGGAATATTGTGAAAATAACATACAACAGACATTTGCATGAACCGGTGTTTGAGATCTTATGTTGCTATATTTCATAACCAGTCATTTGAACAGGTCTCATTAAACTGAGTGGAATCTATTAGCTCTTTAAAAACAGGCTTAGACATTGACCATGCACTCAAAGGAATAAAATTATGCAATATGACAGCCTCTTAAACTCCTTCAGCACACCTGGTTGGGCCATCAGAGGTTTATGGTGTTTTCATAAATATGTAGGTAAGATTCCCAATGAGAAACCTATTTATGTTTTCTAGTTATCAAATATAACTATTCAGAAGAACCCTACAATTATTTTCAAAATGAAGGCCCAATGTTGAGTAGTTGGATGTGGATAAAAGTTTTCTGAGTTTATTAAATGCAACACTGAAAATGAGGGATATATATCTCTTACGTGAACCAGTCAGAATTCATTTAAGTAGTCACAGCAGTTGTGGTAAGTGGGGGCTTATATTACACTAACTACATGTTTTTCTAATATATTTTTTTTTAAATATTTTACTAAATCATTTATTACATTAAAACTGAGTAGGAGGACCTTTGTTTAATTTGATCGGTCCTCAACTATACATGAGTACAGTTAACCAAGATTCTGATATTTTGTGGGATGTTACCTGAGTGATTTTATCTATTGTGTTATATAAGGTGCCGTTCCAAAAGCAAATGATGTTACCTGCAGAAAACGGGGACTAACAGCAGCACTGTATCTGGAGGCTGTAATGTTTCACGTTTGCAGAGAAGGAATGTAATGATTTAAGAGCGCAGAATAGAAAAGTGCAGCACAGGACAGAAAATCAAACAAGATGCGAACAACTCAAACCTCAATTTGAATCTTTTGCTTTTGCCACGAGAATGCACACATTTCTGGCATTCAGTAGTAGTGGTATACGATGTTCCAAATGACTCAGGCATCTGTCTGGTTGAGAGTTTGCAGTGTAGAACTGTGGTTACATTGTTATATGCCTGGTTTGATTTGTGTTAACCGGTAAGCACATTTGTCTGAGAAAATAGCAATGAACTGGGAATGAAATACTGAAGGTGAAGCGTGGACTCTTCTAGTCAGCACTCTTGGTTCCATTGAGGTCCCCCTGTAGGTCTGCATCCTCCTCAGAAGCTTCCATGTTGTCAATCACTGCCCTACGACTGCCGCCCCCAGAGCGCCGCGGTGCGCTGCTGAACGAGGGCTCGTTTCCCCGTCTGCAAAGCCACAGAAATGAAAGATGAGAACCAGAGCAGATGAATGGGTGTAGAAAAAACAGCCCTGTCCATTCAGAGAGCCCTCTGTTTGGTTTCTGAGATATAGGCTTTGGATCTGTCTGTTACTGGTCAAGTCGGCTCTGGGACAATTTATGCCAAATATAATCCTCTATCAGCGTCTTAGTTGAACAATGAAAAGCTATGCATCATTTTACACAGGAGTTCTCAGAACACCTTTATGCCTTTAAGCATTGTTCATGAATTTTTATTATGCTGAGTAGAACTGTGCAGTGCATATCCTATGAAAATATTATGTGGGTCTTAAGTAAGTCCCTGCATGGAGGGTGATAACTTCTGGTCAACAGTATTTCAAGCGTTACTCTGACATGAAACATTACTTGGCCTGAACTGTATCTATGTATATTACGTGATGTTGGGTCTACTTAAAAACTGAACATGAAGTTCCAAGTCAAATTCTATTATTGTTGTTTTCCACCTTTCAGCTAGAAGTTGTCTCATTATTTACACATCCAACCTGCATCTTTACAAAAGTTGCAGCTCAAACTCTGTCTAAGGGGACGCATACAGCCACAGATCACTTACATATTTGGTTATAACAACAAAAAACTAAACAGAGGCATAGTTAAAGGAGATGCTGCTGCAGTGAAGTGGCAGGCAGGTTAACTCTAAAACTCATTTCACTCCCAAGACAAGAGAAATGAGTTTTGTTTAGAGAACTAAACAAAGCTCTCAGAATAGAGAGAAACATGGTCACATAGCAGAAGGCCTCATAGCTTTTGTAGGGGGAAGCATTCTGTGTTACGCTTAAGGGGGGATATTGGTATAGGTTTAGATGGCTTTGAAATGTCAGCTCTAGATGTACAGTATTTACAGTATGGTATCTGTAAACCATATTTCAACTCCACTCTTCTAGGCGTAAGCATGAAAGACACAGGGGATGGTCAGGGAGAGGGCGAAAGGTATTATGAGGCAGTTTCTGAAGACTCGGGTACCTGCTAAGTCACTGCGAAGGCTCCTGATTGCCTCTGTAATAAAGACAAACAGGGCTTTGATTTCAAGTGGAACAGACATGTTTAGGCAGGCCCACACTGGGCCGACAGACTTATGAAATAACTGCTAACCCCATTCCATAGTGCTTGGTTGAGATCTGTTTAATTCACTTTATCTTGAAGATTCATATATGAATATTAAAAGGCAATTTTCAACTAATGGCTAATCCGTAGCAAGAAAATTCATAGTCATTCTTTTTTGATTTCTGGATATAGCAGATTTTGGGCAGTCTAAGGTAGGTTTTTAGGGGAGCAAAATTTGTGAACGACATGTAAGTCTGGGAAAAACTACCGGAAGAGAGTAGTGGAGATATTTGATGACAGAGAATTTATAGAAGGTTTGGGAGAGAGTGCCAACAGGGGGAGCCATTGTCCTCAATCATGTGCTCATTGTCCTACCTGAGTTTGTTCTTCAGTGCATTGACCTCTCGGGTAAGGCCGTCATTGGCTTCTGTGGCCTCGTCCAGCTCCCTCTGGAGCTTTCTGCGAGCAGCAGTTATACGCTGAGACTCCTCCTCTGACTCCTCCAGCTGCCTCTTTAGCTGTTTCAGCCGTGTGTTGGTCTTTTCTCCCTGTGGAGAAGTGAGTTAACGTGAATCATCTGACTGAAGATCATAGAGGTTAAAACCTGCATAACAATATTACAATGCTGTGTTTTGCATTGTACACTTCTATTTATTGACAGAAAGAAAGTACCGGACATATCCATCACACCTACTGTGTACACTGAGGAAATGGCTGACTTACCTGGTCTTTGTACTGCTCTGCCTGTTTCCGTTCCTCCTCGACTTGGATCATCAAGTCCTTCAGCTTCTTGTCTTTCTGCTTCATACCCTTGGCAGCTGCCTGTTTCTCCCTATGTGAAGCATCAATATCCAAAAGAAAAAGAAACTGCTCAAGTAGAATTATGCAGTATAAAACTAAAATGTACTTAGGGTGCTTGTGGGATGCTGCTGGGCTGTCATTTCCACTGAGACCAGGAATTTAGGTGTCTCTCGATGGTTCGTATTCACCTGCTTTCTTGCTCCAGCTGTTCCTCCAGCTGCTGCACCTTGGATTCCAGAGCAGTGATAGAGGCCTTGAACTTGGATTTGACCTGGTTTTCCATCTCCTGCAGCTTGGCTTTCAGGTCTTTGTTCTGCCTTTCCAGCTGCTGCCGTGAACTCTCATTCTTCTGAGCTGTAGTACGCTCAGCCTGGAGCTCATTGTTCAGCTGTTCTGCCTAAACAGAAAGACGAGTTTATGTATGCCAAGTTTCAGCAGGCTTGACATTGTGCATGAACCTTTCCATATCCACTGTTTTCCTTGCCAACCTGTTGCACGCTCTTCCTTAGCCTGTCGTTGAGTATCTCCATGTTGCCCTGCTCCTCCTCAAGTTCCTCCTCCAACTGGGAAATTTTTGCTTCCAGCCGGCGCTTCTCATCAGACAAGGCTGACCTTTGCACACAAGAAAGACCATGTTGCTGTGCCAGATCTATGAGGATCTACCTGAACTTCATTCCTGATCTTCTGGTAGCACTCACTTTCCAGATGTGTTGCTAGATAGTTCATCAGCCAGCTCATCTCTCTCAGCTTCAGCCTGCTTACGGGCTCTCTCCGCTGCAGCTAGGTCCTGCAGATAAAAGCATTTGGACAGCTTAACTCATGTCTCAAATTAACTGTGCTGTAGAAGCATGACTGTGAAGTACAACATTGTACCTCCTGTAACTGCATAAGTTCAGCTTCCAGACTCTTGTTCTTCTTCTCGCTTTCTTTGGCAGAGGTCAGTACGTCTTCCCTGGCTGCACGAGCATCATCTAGTTCTCTCTGGAAGTCTTTCATCTGGGCCTACAACACAGAAGGAAGTCAGCCAATCAGGACACCATCTAGAGTTGATCTAAAAATCAAGTCTATGAGTTTATGTGCACTGTGCTTAATTATTTTTATAATAAAATGCCTGCGATGGGTTGGCCCCCCCTTCCTGGGTTGTTCCCCGCCTTGTGCCCGTAGCTTCCGGGACAGGCTCTGGATCCCCCGCGACCCAGAAGGATAAGCGGTTTGGAAAACGGATGGATGGTTGGATGATAAAATGCATCCCTAGAGCCATTTTTGGGGTTGTGGGCCTTGGTCAATGGCCCCTCAGTGATATTATTACTCTGCTGGCCATTGATTTCTAACCCACAGAGCCACACTTTGCCCCACAAGAGCTTATATGTCATTTTGGACAAAAACGTCTCTGCATCAGTACACTCAACTCACCTGGATCTTGCGCAACTGTTTGATAGCCTCATCTTTTCCTTTGTTGGATGCCTCAATCTGACCCTCAAGATCCTTGATGTCTCCTTCCAGCTTCTTCTTGGCAGCTGAAACCGTGGCTTTCTGCTTGCGCTCGTCCTCAAGCTCTGTCTCCATCTCTCGCAGCTGAAACAGACACAAACTCAGCATGCTGCTGATTCCATTTCAAACTCTTCCCGTCTCTGAGCATTGCAGTAGTCAGAAATACTGGTTTCTACAAACCTTGTTGTAAATTTCAAAAAGGCTTAATTAGCCAATAATAAAAATCCATATAGGGGTTGGAAAGAGTAATCTTCCTGTTTGTTATTTTCTAGGTCTTTAATGGCTATATTAGTTGTTAAATAGACCATGCCAGTATGTTTGAGATCAAAGTTATGGAATTACTCCTTTAGGGAAACAGCTTTACTTAGAGCACTGATATCCACTGAATTCCCATATTTATTGCCTAATGCTAATACAGGCAGCATATACACAACGAAAAGGCATTATTTGGAAACTATTAAAAGCATGTCACAGCCCAGCAATTTTTCTCTCTTGTGATAACAAAGTCTCTGCCAGAATACTGTTTAATGGACTTGTAGGAACCAACATCTATCAACATATCACTAAAACTCCTGGGTAGTCTGTCCTGATTCCCTTTGAAATATCTAGTGTGCAAGAATCGAGATTGCACCTGTTTCACCAGCTGTCGCTTCTTCTCCTCGCCTTGCTCATCTCTGCCCTGCAGATCTCTTTCAAACTGGGCTTTGAGAGCCTGCATGTTGACCTCCAGCCTAAGCTTGGCATCTTCAGCTGCCTGGAGTTCATCCTCCAGCTCTTCCAGCTGGGTCTTCATCTCTTCTACCTGTGCCTCCAGTCCGCGCTTTGACTTCTCTAGTTCATGTACCTATATGGAAGCAATGATTTACACAACGCAAACGTGAGATTTTAAAAAAGGTTAGCGAAGAAAATTACTGCTGACATTGCATTTTTTTTCCTGTTATAGGATACGTTTCGCTTTAAATATTATTAAATTGGAACATTACTCACATTCTTGCCCACATCATCCTTGGAGCTGACCAGGTCTTCCATCTCTGTGCGTAGGGCCTTATTGACTCTCTCCAGTTCTTCACGTGACTCCTGAGCTTCCTCCAGGGCCCGAGCTAGGGACAATGCCTTGGTCTCTTTCTCACGAGCCTCAGCTTCAGCACGGTCACGCTCATCTGCATATTTGCTGGAAACACTCTTTTCCTCAGCAAGCATCTGTCATTGGAGAATGCATAGAGACCAACAGATAAGCATTAGACAACCTTTTATATATTTGGTACCACAATGCAGTTGAATTCTTCATGAAGATCATAATTAACCTGGTCAAACTTCTTTTGTTTCTTCTCCAAGTTGGACACCAGCTGCCTCTGGTTGTCTAGGTCTACCAGAAGATCCTCCAGCTCTTGCTGCAAGCGGTTCTTTGTCTTCTCCAGCTTTTCATGGGCTGAGGCCTTCTCATCAAACTGTGTGTTGGCTGCCTCCAAGTCTCTCTGTAGACGCTTTTTACTTTCCTCTAGAAGTTCCACATTGCTGACGAACTCCTCCAGCTTCTTCTTTGTGTCTGACAACTGGGATCAAAGGGGTCATTATAAAAAAGCTACCGATTAGCCACAGTAGGTTAAATAATGCTGGCAGTGTTTTCTTGGATATCTCCCCTAAACAATCCAAAGGATTACTGGAACTTTTTACAGTCATAAATTGCAGTGATCCGTGACTAACCTGTATATTGAGGGTGGAGACATGCCTTTCCACAGTCCTCTTGGCCTCCACCTCCTCATCTAACTGTTCCTGAAGTGAGTTTCGTTCATCTTCTGTCTGGCGGAGGCGAGTTGAAAAGCTCAACTTCTGCCGTGTCTCCTCTGCAAGCAGCTCCTGAGAAGACACAGGAAGGTCAGCATCAGGTTTTTGACTGCTCATGAGAAGAATATGGAGTGAATTTAAAGGGCAGAAATTGTGGTAAATTGGAATACTGAATCACCTGTACATCTTGAACTTGGGAGGTCAGACTTGCCACATCTTTGCTTAACTTGATGTTCTTGCCTTCTGCTTCATTGAGAATATTTGTCACGCTGTCGAGTTCCACCTGTGAATAGCATACACAATGCATGCATTATCTGAGCCATGATATTAAAGGTTACATGCCATCTTGTTGTTCTTCATCACTTTTTGACTGACCAACGCACTGAGATTACATCAGTAGTAAAGAGCAGAGCGGAGGGGCACTTACAGTGACCTTGGAGACACGCTCTCCAAGCTCTGCCTTTTGCCTCTCACTGTCATTGAAGCGGGACTGCAGGTCAGTCAGTTGGCCTTCCACCTTCTTCCTCTTGTGCTCCAGGTCCTGCTTTGCTTGGGTCAGTGAGCGCACCTCCACGCTCAGTTCCGAGGACTCCTTTTCCAGTGCCTGTTTTGCCTTCTCTATGTTAGATTTAACCTGCAGTGAGGTGAAAGGGAGAGGACACATGGAGAATGAACTCATCCCTGTTCCAGAGCAGTTTCTTAAATTGGGTGAAATCTGATCAGGAAAATGTAAGTGACTTGGATTAAATCTATCTATTATTCTTTCACAGATATACCCACTTGGACTGTAGTTTCAGAATAGTCTTTCACAGACAGAGACTTATACCCACTTGGGTTTAAGTTTCAGATTAGGCTTTCACAGACAGAGACTTATACCCACTTGGGCTTAAGTTTCAGATTAGGCTTTCACAGATAAAGCCTTGCATTCACTTGGACTAAAGTTTCAGATTATTATTTTTTTGCGGAAAAAGAGTCCTACCCACTTGGATTGAAGTCTCAGATTAGGCTTTCACAGATAGAGCCTTGTACTCATTTAGACTGAAGTTTCAGATTAGGCTTTTGCAGAAAGAGACTCCTACTCACTTCAACTAAAGTCTTACATTAGGCTTTAATAGGCAGAGGCTCATACACGCATAAATTGAAGTTTCAGATGAGAGCATCGCAGAAGCTCTTACCCGCTTGGACTGCTCGAGCTGTTCAGTGAGCTCCTCCACAGCCTGCGTATGCTTCTGCCGCATCTCCTGCACTTGTGCCTCATGTGAACGGCTTTCTTCCTCCATCGCCCTCTTTAACAGCGTCACTTCCTGCTCTCGTTTTGCCCTGTACGAGGTCACCCAGGTAATTGACAAAAATTCTCAAAGCCTGCTCTCTTAAAGACAGAAAATAGATACTTCATAGTTGGCTGTCTATCAGATTTATTCTTCTTAAGGTGCTCATTTAACTTATCTAATGTCGTTGTAGACCAGTAAATATTTGATAGTGGTACCAAACAGCGGTCCACTGTGGGTCCAGTACTCACCGAAGCTCCTGCTGCGTAGCTGTGCTGTCCAGTGTGTCCTCCAGCTCAGACCTGAGGGCCTCCAGCTCCTCTCCCAAGTCGCGTTTGGCCTTCTCTGTTTTGTTGCGAGCAGCACGCTCCGATTCCAGGTCCTCCTGCAGGTCTGAGATGTGTCCCTCCAGCTCCCGGATCTTCTTCAGGGCATTGTTCTTCTGGGTTGTCTCATCTTCGAGTCTGCAGTGGAGAGACAATCACAGCTATGGTCTGCTGCAGAAGGTGAGCTGAACTACCACAATGCTAAACGTGGTCTATTTCACAAAAAGTTTTTAAAACTGTGTGAACACACACTCATTCATGTCTTGTTTATCAAGTATTTTTGCCATGCATATAAGGAAAACAACAAAAACAATGATGTCAATGTGGTGAATTAAATTAATTGCGATTAAAACAAATGGAATAATAAAACAAAGCGACCCGATCGCTGAAAGATGTACCTTCCTAGGGTGGCCTGCAGTTCCTCTTCCTTCTTGGCCAGCTGTGCTTTGAGCTCAGCAATTTGGGCTTGCAGGTCAGCAATCTGCTCTTGCAGGTCATTGGATTCAGCGTCCAGCTTGCGCTTGGTTTTTTCCAGCTCTTGCCGGCCCTTCTCCTCTTTCTTCAAACGCACTATAGAGACATTGAGTATTTATGACTAAACCCATTTCATTATTATCCATAGTGTATAACATCTGATGTGTATCCACATCTGATGGAGTAAACAGACTATGTTACTAATGAATGCTGAATACTTACCTTCCAGCTCGGATATCATAGACTCGTGTTTGTTCTTCAGCTTGGTCAGGTTCTTTGATTTTTCTTCTTCCTCTGCCAGGTTGGTGCTATAATCTGCTACCCGCTCCTCCAGAAGCTTCCTCTCCTAAAATCACAGGTGGATGACACTCAGATGTCACCGTTTCAGCCCTTGCTGAATTCACCAGTGAATGATCCTCCATTCTTCTGCTTCACACCTACCTTGAGCAGTTTACTGTTATGGTCCTCCATGATCAAGATGTCATCCTCCAGCTTTTTGATCTTTCCATCTGCAGTGACTCTCTCAAGCTGAAGCTTCTGACGGGCATCCTCCTCCTCCTCAAGATGTTCTTCCAGTTCCTGGCAATGTGAGTTCATTTCAATGCCTGTATCTATGAAGTGTATCAGTATCCTTGGAATGGCGCTAAGAGTCTCACTAAGAATTTCTTCTACCTCACAGTAGTTCCAGTCATTATGAAGTGTCCTACACCCACTCTCAGCAAGGAGTAGGACTTTTAGATTGAGAATTAATGATGATGTTTTGTAGTTTCTGATACTACCGCTAAAGTATCAGCATACAGAGGAGGCAGAAGAGGACCAGAGATGCACAAAACCCACTACTACTTCCTCTACTAAAACCTCTACAACTGCTGCCGCCGCTACTACTACTGCCAATAATAATAATAATAATAATAACAACAACAACAATCAATTTATAGTGCTATAGGAAACTTTATATTTAGTTTTCCAGCTGTAATATCTTGCAACAAAAGCAAGCAACACCCAGATACTGTGTATGAGTGTGACAGGATGAAGGAGAAATGACAATATCACACCTGTATCTGCTGCTGCATCTTTTTTTTCTCCACTTGTATGGCTTGGCCACGATCCTCCTCTTCTTCCAGTCGTGCCTCCATCTCATGCAAGATCTCCTCCAGCTCTTGCTTCTTGGCAGACAGACGTACCCTCATCTCCTCAGCCTCTGCATACAGTTCTGTCTCAGCCTGCAGCTGCTCCTGCAACTGGTTTCTCTCCTCCAGCACCTAATGCAAGCCCAGAAGAAAGTTTGAAAAATATTTTTTAAAACTACAAACGTATCACTAACGCTGTCTCTCAAATACAGACAAATATATTCCATCAAATGCCAGGTCAGAATGTCTCAACGTTAATTAAGATTTGAGTTACAGTAAAACCAGCAGTTAGCAGGACAGGATCCAAGTGCCCATGGACAGTTTTATGTACCTGTGTGTGCTTCAGTGTGATCTCCTTCAGCTCTGTGTCTGTCTTTTGTGCCTGATCTTTGATCCTGTTCAGTTCTTCATCTTTCAGGCTCATCTCCTCTTCCTGGCGTGTCACTTGCAGTAGGGGCTTGACCTGAATATTAAACCAAGGAATTAAATTCATGGAGAGTCTAAGATACAAATCCAAGCAAAGACTTGTACAGGTACTGTTATATACAACAGAGATGCATCTGAAACATGTGTCTTAAAAGCTTGCCTTAGTGAAGAGTCTCCACCACTGCCAATTGCGTAGTTTGAGGTAGGCTGCACAGTTCCTCTGTATGACCTTCATTGCTGTCAGCTGCTGTTGTCTCTTAGCGAAGGCCCTGCAAGCGAATAGGAGATGGAGGACTGCTTTAAGGGAGTGCACTGAAAGTTAAAGCCCCAACACTACTGTAATGTGTCACACTTCAAGGAAAAATGGGTCTTCAACAAATATGGGGAAGATTGAGACTCACTTTCTGGCCAGGAAGCCTCTGGCTTGTGCCTGGAAGGCAATGATGATAACTGTGATCTTCAGGTCACGCTCTTCTTCTAGCTGGGCAAGCACTCCAGTACGGAAGAAGATCTTGCTTTGACCAATGCGGTAGAGGTTTGGGTCCAAATCCAGATGCTTAATCTGATGGAAAAGAGCAGGATTACCTGTAGCTGACTTATTGGAAGTGTAGATAACTGATAGTCATTATAATTCAATAAGAAAATCAGCAAATATAATATCAGTGGCACAGCTTACCATGAGAATGCAAGCTTGTTTGCCATCCATAAAGCCCTTCGGAATTGCACTTGCAGCCAAGATTTCATAACTACATTAAAAGAAAAGAGGATGGCACAAATGGTTGTATGTAGAAATTAGAACTTAGTTGTGCTGAGAGTTAAAATGGAATGTTCCCTGTACAGTATGAATAGACATTATTCAAAGTGCTGAGAGTGGTGGCCCTTTCTTCCTCGTATTGCTTACCGCTGTCTAAATTCCTGGAAGACGATACGGTTGGGGAATCCCTGCCGGCAAATGCGAATGCCCTCAAGCACACCATTGCATCTCAGCTGCTCCAGAACTAGGTTAGCATCCAATTTCCCTGCCTGAGCAATACAGGAAATGGTTGTGTGTGATGAGATATGTACTTCTGCACTCTTAGGTGACTTTAGACACAGAATAGTGGAAGGCAGTTCAGACCTTTTTTGGCAGATTAATTACACCCCAATAATTATTAGCTGAATTAATTTCCACCTTTAAAGCTAAATCAGTAACATTAACTGGAGGTTCCTCTTCAGTCTTGAGTACAAGCTCTAGCTAAAAACCATTGTATACCCCTTCTTTTCCAAAAGTAGAATTTCCCACTTCTGACATATTAACTATATAACAGAATAAATGCACAGATGCTAATAATACCCCTATGTAGCACATTATTAAGTCTTCTAACAGAAAGCTCCCATTGACTGTAGAGCTCATTAAATATATGCTATAAGGGACATTCACACAGCACCAGCATTCAGAATGAATCTGCGCACCCTCTTCTCGTGGTTGGGAATAATGCATCGGACAAAGTTGGGTTGGGTGTTATGCAGGGTGGTCATCAGCTTAGCCAGAGACTCCTTGTAGAGCTGGCCCACTGTGCGGAACATCCCCTTCTTGGTTTTGGACGAACTGGGCATGGAGCTGTCTGACATCTTGGCTATTGTCTCCAGTCCTACCACTCGGTCCACTTTTAGTTAGGAAGACACAGTACAGTTAACTTAGGCTGCTTAGCCACAGCCAAGCTCAGCTGGACTGAGAAACAGAATCAGAAACACTCTCATACTCTTTTCAGCTTTAGGATGCATCAACGCTTACCATCTTTCCATAGCTCTTGTATAAACGTGCTGGAGGAGTTATTAAGCAATGCAGTCACATTGTCATTAAGGGGGTCCATGTTCTTCGTCAGCCAAGCAGTGGCATTATAGTCGACCTAATGAAGACCATCCAATCACTCAATTCACATCAAGTATACTTACAGAACATCATATTGGATACTTTCCAAATTTAACACCACCTTAATTTCTTATTTAATCTAATTAGCAAAATGTTAGTTGTTTGTACATTCTAGATTCAGAGTACGATCTAGATCAGATTCTGGAATAAAGGTCTTTGTCTGCTCTGTGGATTGCCAGTGTCTTCTTACCTTGCCAGCATAGTGGAGAACGGAGAACTCAGTCTTGTCCTTCAGCTGCTTTGATTTGGCAAACTTGGAGTGGTTGCCCTGTGTGTTAAAGAGCTTCTCCACAAATGAGATATCTGTGGCTTTTGGGAACCAACATTCCTCATCCAGGAGGGCAAGGATGCCTGGTGGATTATTCTGCAGGAATAAATACCAACTGAAATCTACATGGAAAGAGAGTTTTGTCTGTTCATTGCAGTAAGTATTATACTTGATGTCCACATGTGCTATGCAATCTAATGCAAATATAGGTGGTCTCAAGAAAGCACATCAATGTATATTATCAGTAGACTGACAGGTGATGTACAGTGGAAGGCAGGTACACTGACCGGTCTTTCAATCAATTCAATACAGGGCTGCAAGTCTAGGCCAAAGTCAATGAAGTTCCACTCAATGCCTTCCCTCTGATACTCTTCCTGCTCCAGGATGAACATGGTGTGATTGAACAGCTGCTGTAGCTTCTCATTAGTGTAGTTGATGCACAGCTGTTCAAAGGAATTGTCCTGCGGGAGATCACATATGTAACCATGTGCTCAAATGGAAACACTGCTTTTCGTCACAACGCCGCTATAGGTTGTATTCCTCACCTCAAAGATCTCAAATCCAGCAATGTCCAAGATACCCAAGAAGGACGCCCCTTGACGTTTTGTCTTATCAAGGGCCTTGTTGACACGTGTCAAGATCCAGCGGAAGAGTCGTTCATACATTGCCTTGGCAAGGGCCTCTATAGCGAAATCAGCCTGTGAAAAAAAGCAAAGACACCATGTTTGTTCATTATTATACATGTAATTTTTTTTTTTAAGTTCACATTTCAGCTAGATTATGAAGCAGTTCAGGCAAAATGCTTTGCTCAGCATCACAACTCCTCCTGCATTTGAGTATAACTACTATGCTAAATTCAGTCTGGTTTGTAATAAAAACATTTTAGTTAGAGGTATAGCACTAGATCTGATATTTTTGTTTTCGGAGGATGTAAAAGATGCTAGAGGAATAGCAGGATAGCTGCATTGCAGGTCCCATCTTGTCATTGTCAAAGGTAACAATGGGCCGTTACCTGTTCTTTGGTCTGTGCCTTCTGCACCACCTCTCGGCCGACTTTGATACGTGGCGTGAGGATGGCGCGGGTAAAATCGGTCACATTGATGCCCTGAAGGTGGCACACTTTCTGGGCAGCTGGATATAGATAAAATGGTCATTAGCAGAACGTCTCCAGAAGAAATCTATTCTTATGTCAGCAGCAGAGCCAAATGTTTTTACGGTAGTTGTTGAAAATTTGATCAAATCAAATTTTGATCAAAATCAAATTTTCAGCCTAAAGTGGCTCAAAACACACAATTTGTTTACATGACCAAATGTCCACCCGGGTCCCAACAGCAATGTGTTTGTGTCAGGGTTAGGGAATCCTCTCACCTGTGTTATCTGGCATTGTTGCTTGCTCTTGGTTCCTCTCTTTCTTGAATTCAATGTTACCAAGTTGTAACACACTAGAGACCACCTTCAGGACACCTGAAGAAAATGCGGGGATTTAAAGAAAAGTTTGTTAAGATAAAGGAACTTCAGTCAAACAGTCTTAATACAGAGTTCACAGATAAAATTCACCAATCTGCTCTTCCTCTGTGAAGCCCATGATGTTCATGGCCTCCATCGTCTCAAGGTACATCTCATCGTCCTGCTGCCCTGGGAGTTGCACATGTCCAGCCACCAGGAAGCGGTAGTTGTTGAAGCTCTCCAGCAGCAACTCCTCTATAAAGAGAAATAACAAATCAGACTAACAGAGGGTAATTTTTATCAGTAAACGAGTAATGGGTATTCATGGACACAAAGCCGAGTTTGTACCACACAGCTTGTCTTTCGCTCCAGCCACCATGTAGTAGAAGATGTGGAAGGACCTCTCAGTCCTAGCCTGCCGGATACAACGGGACTTCTCCAGCAAGTCTGTGATGGTGACCATGTCAAGGAGGCCTTCTTCCTATGAGGCTCATTGGCACTTTCACCTGTTCAGGATCTCTTTGCTGTCATGTTATCCAGAAGCACACACTGAAGGAGTGTCTGCATGATCACAGCTGAACCACTGCCACCTTGAGCTATGGATGGGCACGTAATTCTAATGTAACCATGTGAGATAATGGTCTACTGTACTGTTTCCCAAGCTGATCATTGGGGCCCCCCAGTCCACGTTTTTGCTTTACCAAATGCTGGGAGGGAAAAAAAAATGTGGACTGTCTGACAGGGAGCTGGGAGTGAGCAGAACCTTGGGCTGCCTGGGGATCCCCAAGGACCGGGATGGGAAACACTGGTCTAACTCCATGTGAGTAAAGAAACAGCTTAAGCCCTTTCTTTGCCTGCTTTCTTGTCAGGATACACGTCTCGATGTTGGCTCCCACAATGTAGCCTGTCACATCAAAGTTAATGCGGATAAACTTGCCCTGTGGGGAGATAACATTAAATGCATATAGATACTGATATACCTGCAATCCTGACAATTAAAACAGCACAAAATGACTGAACCTTTAACAGCAATGTTAAATGTTTTGCTATGTATTATTATCTAATGCTTATTTTACTCAAACATTATAGCAAAGGATTACAACATCACAAAAGCTGAGAGAGAATTTGTATGCTCACGAATCGAGAGGAGTTGTCATTCTTGATGGTCTTAGCGTTTCCAAAGGCTTCCAGAATAGGGTTGGCCTGCAAAAGCTGCTTCTCCAGCTCCCCCTAAAGCATCCATGCAAGAAGTTAATGACGAGTCTGCACCCACACAAACCACGGCTGAACTCATACTGCCTCAGTGAGCACTGCAGGGGTCTGAACCAAGGAGCTCCCATATGTTCATAAAGGAAAACGAGAAGAAGAAGAGGAGCTCATTAAAAGGCAACATGCAGAGGTCATTGGTGACAACAATTTATGGGAGAGATTATGGAAATAGATTAGGGGAGAAGGAAACAGATCTTTAACAAACACGAGAGTGGTACCTTTCTCTGGTTCTGTTCCGGAGCAATTTTACATCCTAAAATACTCTGATTGTGCTTCACGAAATTTGGCTCAGTTAAAGATCAGGTTTGAAAATAAAAATAAGCATAGGGACGACTCATCCTCCAGAAAGAATATTTCTGTGTCAATGTGCAAGATCTGTAAGAAGCTGAGAGGCATTAAGTTACCAAGGGGCTCTATGCAGCCCTGATCCCTGGGATCAAAGGCAGGAAGTCATTTGACTGATGGGGGCGTGGAGGAGGGACACTGTCCAGCCAGGGCATTTTGAGCAGCTAGATGCTTGGATGTCATTCTCATAAATAAGCCTCCTAATTGTGTTTATATAGTAATGCAGCAAGTCAATGTCCTCTATGCTTGTATACATACTTCTGTCTCAGTCGCTTACAAACAAAACACGGATTTGTGTGAATCAATTTAGAGTGTTTGATTGCATGTTACTGCTCACTGTTTCTGCTGACGCTCTGGTATTATAACAGTAATCTTGTACAAAAATTGTATGCATATATTTATATCAGTCTGCTTTAAAGATGTGTATTTTAAAGATGTGTATTTTAAAGATGTGTATGGGGAGAGAAGAAGCAGATAGCTACCGGAAAGTTCAGCGCTGAGGATGAAATCACATCCCTGACTGCTGCGGCAGCTAGAGAGACAGGAACACAGTGGGGAAGCAGAGAGAAATGCAAGGAGACAGGAAACAAGGAGGAGTACAACGCTGAGAAAAGAGCAATGAAAGGCATCCCATACTCAGACACATCTTTGAAACCAAAGGTTGCGTTAAAGGTTTACAATCGTGTGACCACTACTTTACAGCCCTCCTGAGGTCAGGGCCTGGGCATAAGAAAATGGCAAAAATGGAATTTAGTGGCTTGAAGCGGAAGGGGGCACTCTGCTGCTCCGTGCCTCAGTGCTAGGTTAAGGAGTGTCCTTCAGGAGAGCTGCTTTTCGTGAACGAGTATTCACCTCGCCTACGGGTCGGTGTGAACAAACTCCGAGACCTTCCACATGGTGACAAGAGTGGGTCAGAACTCCACACTGTGCAAAGCGCACTACGGCGCGCAAGGCCGACTCTACGGATGGTTGGCGAGTGGGTAAAGGGTAAGAAAGGGGTAGTCTGTGATAGGAAACGTCCATTGTCCAGGAGGAAAGGAGACGGGCATGCTCACACTGTGCTCAAAGTTCTGTGACGGGCCTTTTCACTATCGGATTCTAGCTCTGACAGTGAAAGGGTTGAGTACATAAAACATAATTATCACTCTCAGATGGGGGTAACAATTTTACATCATCTGTCACTCTAAATAAAAAAAAAAAAATCACGATAGTGGTATGACAGCGACATCAATGAAGCTGTACTGCTCAACACTGCTTGCCGAATATGAGAGTGGCTGGACGTGATATCAGAGCTCGGGTATGAAAACCGCAGTTTCTCACATCAGGTCTGTTTCTGTCGTGTACGAAGGTTCACAAGAGTGTCACTGCACACAATGACGTTGCACTATTTCATTTTGGTGAGACATTGGAGCATGCAATTCCGAGCCTTGGAAAAACACACACAAAAAAAAGAAAAGAAAAAACTAGGCATTCTGTTTTTACTCACGTAGGCATATAGAGATCCTCCTTGTGGCTATTTGGAGGAAATTGTGGTAGGAGTTAACCTTAGAAGACTTTCCTGAGCATCAGGTTAAGGGTTTCCCTCGCGGATAAGGGGCATTAGGGAAATTAAGGGGATTCAAATCTGGCAGAGCACTCTGCCATCTACACCAACGCATGTTCTCTTTCTGTAGAGCTTTGGAACATAACCTCTATATCCAACTGGTTGAATTGGTCTTCAATATCACTGTCTAATTTTACTAAAAAAATGCAATTTTGCCCCATATCAGCGATAAGTTTTGCTTATATCAGAATGTGACAGATTTTTATAGCTAGCAAGACTTTCATGAGCTGTAGTAAGGTTGAAAATCATATGTCACACTAAACTGAATTGAGTTATGGAGGTGAATTTCTTATCTTTATGAACAATGCATAAATTTACTTAATTTTAAAAATTGTATTACTATTCCATCATTTAATAGCTAATATGGTTAGAATTCACATAGATTCTCACAATAACATTTCTAGCCTATTTGTATACATGATAAAATATGAAATTGTTAATGTAATCTTTATTACTAAATACGGTAACTTGCATTTCATGCCTCTATAGCGCCCTCCCAAAAGGCCAAGGACAAAGAAGGTACTACTCACAACGCTGGAGTCCTTCTTCCCCTTGTGAGAGGAGGCCACTGTGGCCAGGTACTGGATGACCTTCTTGGTGTTCTCAGTCTTTCCAGCCCCAGACTCCCCTCTGTGGGTTGGCAGGAGAGCGGGATGAGGAATGTATTTCAGGCTGCCTCAGATCTACATGAGGTCAGTTTATTCAGCATGCAGATTCTGCTTTCATGTCTGACTGCGGTGAAACATATTCTCAGCCCACTCTCTGGAATCATTAAGCATCCATGGCTGTGCATCCATCAGACAGGATTCACTACTTAAATTTAATGTGCCGTCACTGCATTTCACCAAGACTGCCGTGACCCATGGACAGTTAAATGTGACACTAAGACCTTCACATCTCCTCTTGCACATTACATGTTCCTTTTATCTCTAATACACTAGACAAAGTGATGAGGGGCTCCAGTCTTTCTGCAAACCCTAACAACTCCATAAAAGGCAAAACATGTCTAATTCAGCAGGCCCCGTAATGGACTTGTTTAGCAGACACAGGAATCCTGCACGTCCTGTTGTAAAGCCCTCCCTCCAACAGAGCTGAACCCTTCCCTTCCCGTGGCACAGAAGCTTTCATAGGAGCGCTATGAATGAAAAAATAACAACATCTCAGACATTAAAAGTGTCACCAAACAAAATCCACCCCTATAAAACCACAAAGGTCCACTTGTGCTCTTTGTAGATGCTCATCTAAAGCACAGTGTCCACTGTACGGTTGTGTACACAACATGTTTTATTTCAGGTTATTATCACAAAACTGAATTATTTGGGTCTTCCCATTGTAAAGAAATGTGTGCATCCATCTGCCTAGTGAGGCAGTAATTAGCATAATTCATATAAATCATCATCTATCCCTTGCACTAGTGAATTTAATGGCATCCCTCCTAAGTTTTGCGTCCATCGCAGTATGTCCCCCAAGAGAAACCTTCCCGTAAACCGGTCCGGAAATGTTTGTGTCTCTGCTGGAAATTCCTCTTCATTTATTTTTATTTATGAGTGACCAGTGGCGTCGGAAGGAGTTTAACATCGGTGGGGGGCGGGTGGGGGGGATTTGCCCTGGGGGGGGGGGCAATGTATATGCATATATATATATATGGCTTTCATCTGTATAATGACAGAAACCCATTGAATCGCAAAAGGTGCCACTTTGAACGGTTTTCGCAAAACCCAAAAATATCGCACTGTGATTTTTTCCAGTATCATTCAGCCCTAAACAGACATCTCTTCATGGGACATTACAGATGATGTGACAAAAGCTATAGAGGGCATAGGTCAGACTGGAGCTTCACGGACAACGAAACGTGATTTTATCAGGTTTATCAGTAGGGGCTACTTATTTATTTTATTTTATTTTTTGGGGGGGGGTGTCATGTTCCCCCTTGCCCCCCATTTTCTATTCAAGATTCAAGAACTTTACTGTCATTCCACACACTTTTAAATATAAAGATGAAAAAAAATCGGCTACGTCTTCAGTGTGGCACACAAGGTATCTCAGTCGAGGCACGCTACCTCAGTGAGGGGATCAAGAAGGCTAATCCACACTGATGCTTCTCTTTCAATTGAGGAGATCATGTATTCAAGCCAGTCAGACATTTAATTTCTGCTTCCAAAGTCACACTGTCAGTATCACAGGATCTCTTTATCACAACTGTCCCCTGGCTTCATCATTTGTGTCCCCGTTGCTGTTAGTGGACATATATTTGGGACAGACAGACACGTCTCTCTGCACTGCAGAGGATATTCTGTCTTAAAACACTTCAAACATGTTTCACCAGTATTCTCTGGCTTTCTGATAACAAAGTACATTATACATTTTAGACAGAGAAAATGCAGTGCAAGCAATGAATATCTGCAAGTAAGATCTACTGTAATTCCAGATGAGCAATGTTGTGAATGGTTTGTAATGTCTGGTGCAGTTAGAGACAACCACGTGAAATTTGCTGTCCACTTAGTTTTCTCTTGAGAACGTGTTTTGACAACAAGTATAATCCCTTCTGATACCAGTCCCCCAGGAACCAGGAAGACTAAGCAGGAAATTTACAACAAGGTCTGCACAGCAGGACCACAGACACGCAGCATGCAAGTAGAAAGCCAATATGGGATCAAAAAAGGCTGTATCTCTGGATCAACTGGCTCAGAAGAGAGAAGGGCCAGGGCGCTGGGCTGGGTGGGCTTTCCCGTTTCCCATCATGTACAGGGATACGGGCACGGACAGGAAAGGTGGCCCTGCAAACCGGTGTGTAGGTGCTGCAGCCTTAAACACACAGTTAGAGGTCTGCTCTCTGTGAGGCCGCGAGACCGGAACATTGGGTCTCAGGGATGTGGCTGAGGTCTGTCTGTGTTGGGGGGGGGGGTCATGGCTGGGAGTTTTCTATGCCTTGACAAGTCATTTTGCCCAGCCTGGTTAATTTTATCCTCAACAGGCTTTCTCACAGTACCCTGGCAGAAAGCCCGTAATGCTGGTGAGGTCTGTGTGCTGACGGATCCAGCTCATTTACTACAGCTAGCTGCTTGTCAAGGAATGGGACAGGCTGAGGAATTTGAAAAATATATATATTTAAAGGAATCTTTGATATGCCATGTGAGAAGTGCTGCATTTTATATCGATGTGCCTTTTTTAGTGTGGTGCAGTTAGGGTGCCATTTTGCTTGGTTTGCAACACGTATGCACCTCACTGTCTTTCTCTTTTTCTGAACTGAACAATGAACTTATATATTTAGATGACAACGACCCCCAACTCGCTAATCGGTGACACTTAAAGGGTCATGATTTTTAGCAACGCAGCTCGCCTCATTGACAGCAATAAGCGTTAGAATAAACACACCCAAAGACTAAACCAAACCACCGGTATTAATCTCAAACAAAGGCTAATCTGATATTAGAGTCCGGATACAGGGCATATTTCCTGTGAGTGGGCTGGTTCTGGAGAGAGCTGACCCCCAGGGGTGATATGGACTTTTCCCACTGCTGTTGAAATGGGAAATACCCACCAAACTTCCTGTCCACCCTGTAAATACCATATACTTAGGAAAATAAGTTTTCCAGACAGCAAATTCCCAGTGTGATGCCTGTAGACATGTAATGTTAGTGTGACTGCTTGGGCTACAGTGTCTTTCTACAGCTTTGACATAAACATTATTTGGGTCTAATCAGCCACTTGTCCAGTTTACAGGATGAGTTTCGATGTTGGAGCATGAGATGAGACTGTGCAAGTTAGAAGTGCATAAACAGCATTTACTTACGTGCACAGGACAGACTGGTCCTCACGATCTGTGGAAAAAAGCGATTCATACATCATGTCAGACGTCTTCAATGACTGAATTTTTATTCTGAATCTATGTTTTAAGTGCTTTGAACTACACATAATACATGTTTGCATATGTGAAGGAATGTCACGGCTGGAGAGACTAATATGATTTGTAATTGAGTCAAGGAGCAGAATTACTCAAATTCATTTTTCTTTCGCATAGCTAATGTGAAAATCCTTGAAGAAAATTAAGCTGTTCCATTTATGGGAATTTCTGCAGCACATTGACCATCTCTTAACCGCTTATCCTGACCAGAGTCACCACTGGGCCTGGAGCCCGACCCAAACAGCACAGGGCACAAGACAGGGGGCAGGGTGCGTGGGATGAGAATCCATTGCAGGGCAAACACAATCACACACTATCGCGATTAGAGATTATGATAAGACTAACTGCACAATTGGAATGCAGGAGGAAATCCACACAACACAAAGAGAACATTCAGACTGCACACAATCACCAAGGATCATCGCGCTGTGGCACTTGGTCAGAAAGGTTATCTACCCCTGGATGCTGTACATAAACTACACGCCCAGTAAATAAATCAAGAGGTCCAGAGCACAGCATCAATGGAACATTCTGCTACATCAGGTGGACACCTAAGCCAGTACGTTATCGTACAGCCTGGAACTGCGGTCTGTAAACATTCAAGACTGCCATTCCTCATTATGGACATGACTTGGCTGGTTTTGCTTCCAAACAGCAAATGCCTCCCGTTCCCCTTTCTTCCAAATTAAGGCAGAAATCAGGGCATCCGAGAGCTCTGAGAGGGAAGCAGCATATAGTGGACATTTTGGTGCTAACAGTCCAAAAGGCAGAATCATTGACAGTTGACTGAACAGTGTAACCTACTACATTTACCATTTTGCTAAAAAAAGAAGTTACCCTGCTATTGAGCACTACTCTCATGTCTAACAAGACACTTATTTACTTGAAATAATCCATGGGAATTGCAGTTATCTATTATTTGGCTTCAAAGGCAAACAGTCTGAAAGACCTTGCAAAGGAATGCAATGGCCCACAGAGGGAACAGCAGATTGCTCACAGTCCACCCAGGATTTCATCATAGATAACTAGACAAAGTTTATAGATTTGATGCAGCGTGCATCAGCCAGCAAACCAAATCTGTGTACAAATCTGTCACAGCAAGAAGGGGGGGGGGATATGGTTAGAGCTCTGAAGTAAATTAGGTGCTAGCTAGCTAGCATTCAGCATTTCACAGCGCATCATGAGCGTGTGCAATTGCTCAAATGAAACCAAAAAACTATCAGCTGATTTATAACATTCCACACAGAGTACAGGAAGAAGAGCTCAGCTACGCCCAGCAATCAAACCTCGCACTGTTTGTGTTGACCTGGAGAGCAATTTCCGCGATGTACCCATGCTGTTTACTTACAGGGAGGCAGCTACATACTATGGTGTGCAGCATAAACAGGACACACGCTTCTGGACTTGAGCCAAAAGCAGAAATACAATTGCCTTTAAACAGCAATATTCTGATTCATGAGAGCTCAAAGGTGCTAAGATATTCTGCAGGCATAGCCAAACGCTCCCAGAATAGTTAGCCATACAGTTAAAGGGGAGGGGTGAAACTCTGTGGGTTAGGGAATCTATACTACATCAAGCACAGCAGATAGGACCTGGAGTTAGACCTGTGGACGCGCAATGACCCAAGAATTACAGAACCTTATGTAAACAGAAACAGAATAAATACATTAATTTGTGTAAATCTTGTTTTGTACAGATACAACGTTTTGTTCTTCATTCTCAAATGAATGTGACATATTAATATCATGTTATAGAAAAGCATAGCCAGCATATGTTATGCTATCAGCACAAGCCTCACTAAGCATGTGATTATTTTGCATGATGTAGATCCAGCACTGTGGAGTTTTATTAGCATGGAAGGCTGTAGTAATGACACGGCTGAGACCCTGGACAAGTAGGTGAGGTCATCTCTGTTCTCATTTGGCTTCCTGACAGGATTTGGAAGGAGTCCAAATAACTTACAATTTCTAACCACTTGAACAATAGTGAATTTAAGCTTTAACAACACATAAAATTCACGTATATATCAGGTTCTAGCCATTCCATTTCAGTTAGATGATGTAGGTTAACAGAGGCCAAGGTTACAATGATGTCATCACTTCAGAACAAAATGTGAATTTATTTCGGGCTACGATGAAAACAGCAACAATGTGACATTTTTATTCTTAGCTGCCCAATAGCTATGATCTGCTAATGAAGGAGAAAGTCGAGTGACATCTGTGATATCCCCCACAATACCACAGACAGAGACACATGTAATCTTGTGCACACACACTGTGAACATCACTCAGTGGGAGGCTTTAAGCTCAGCAACAGGGACCTGCCAGGCTTAGATAAACGCAGACTCATTCTGGGGAAAATTACACACTAACTTAATGTCATTACTAATTTGTTTACAGTATTGGATTTATTGTACTTAATGGTTTGACTGATTATGTCCCTGCAATGACCTGAAACACGCAAAGACATGTGGCTTCTCTGTTTCTTCTGGCAGCCTTTTGTAACCCACATGTTTAGTTAGATGCCTTTGACCATTTCCAACCTAACTTCTATCCAAATTTCATTCCTGGGGGAACACACTGAATGTGCCAGAAGATTATAGTGAAGAACCAGACCATGACCTGAATTAAAAAATAAACCTGCTACATTTCTGTTGAGTGGAATAATGTTGGAGGTTTGTATCAAATGCCCAGGGACTCTGAATCAATGGCTCACCCTGCACTTAGACCTCAAGTTTACTCTCAACTGTAGTTGTGGAAATGGCAAATAAATGATCATTTCATTCAATAAACAGTTACACTGGAGGCTTAATGAGCAGATGGTGTTGCTTCCCGTTACACTTGCTTGTACTGTACTTGCTGATTTGGATGCTTCCGAACTTCAGTGCCCTCGTGATTCCCCTACACATTCAGCCAATCACCAACTTAACAGCATAATGCAGTGAAGCAGATACTTTCCACAAGCCACAAAATCTTTAAAGTTGATGAAAATAAAACAGTGACAGATGCTTTGATAGACTCCTACAACAAACCCTCAAAACCACTACAAAAGCTCTTCAGTAAAGAATATTAGGCACTTTAAGCAGCTATTACCATGTCTAAGGAGACATGATATATAAACAAACTCATGCATTATGAGGCTAGGGACAGTTTACTCTTGGTTAATGTTTGACACACTGCAGTTTTGAAACAGGGCCTACAATATCCTAGGGTTTTGATGCTTTAATCTTAATATTGGTTTCTTAATTTAACCTGAGAGAATGTCTGTAACAGGTACTGCTGCCTGGAGAGCGTGTGCACACAGGTTACCTTGCATCATGTTCCTGTAGGCGTTATCGGTGATGGCATAGATGTGTGGTGGCACCTCATGACGTTTCTTTCCCTTGTAGATTTCGATGATCTTCTCGGAGTAAATGGGCAGCATCTTATATGGGTTCACCACCACACAGAACAGGCCTGAGTAGGTCTGGGAGCCAAAGAGAAACACCATCAATTGACACGTGCCCAACTGCACATGAGATGTAGAAGGCAGAGCTCCGCATGTTACTGAATCGTTCCCGGCCTGTTGGGGGCTGAGGGAGACAGAGTGCTTAGAATAACTGCCTGCTTTATTCTCCACTTTCCAGGAATTCAAATGGCTGTTAGCATCCAGACAGATAAGACAGCATTCCGCCACGGTTTGATATTTAACTTCATTGCACTGCATTTGTTTTTAATGTCCTACTTCCTCTCTGAAATGGTTGACCAGCAGTTCACCGGGCAAGTGCAGGTTACAACCTACTTGGCGCAACAATAGAGATTTACTTCTTAGCATGAATGATACATGCATCACCCTATTTGGCAAGAGTGATATTGATGGATACTTCCTATCTGCTTCACACAAACACTATAAGAAATGCTGAGGATCATCAACTATCAGAAGTACTTCATTCTGGGTGGACAAAAGTGACCCTGACTAGGATAAGCGGCTAGATGATGTATGGATGGATGGATGGAAAGATGATTTGAATTGATATATTGATCCTGTCTTATGAATGACTAAAGCTCACAGTCTTTACCATGTTTGATGAATAAATTTTAAATATATTTTTTGAGAGATTTCAAATGTATACTTTATATAGTCTTTACTTATCTGCACTGAGTAAATGTTAAGCATGAGTTAATGTGATTGGCTCACACACAGCTTTGAAGGCCTAGCCATGGTCCCCGTGAGCTCTGACTCCCACAGCAATGCCTCATGGGAAATATGGGGGGCAGGGGGCGGAGCTGAGGTACTCACATAGATGAGCCCAGAGAAGTAGCGCTCTCGCAGGTTATGAAGCACAGAGGCCTCGTTCAGGCAGGTCAGTTCCGCCATGTCCTCCACCTTGCTGAACTTGGGTGGGTTCATCTTCTGGATGTCATCCTTGTTGATTGTCACTTTCTTGCCATTGTCCGCCAGTTCCACCAGCACCTCATCGCCGTGCTCCTCCTTGATGCTGGCGGCCTCGAACCCATGCTTTTCAGAGGGGATCCACACCAGCTTCTTGGCAGACCAGTCAGCCTGGGCCACAGGACTGTTGATGAAGTCCTTGTCCAAATAGAGGAACTTCTCATCCTCACTCAAGGCTTTTTTGGACATCTTGAAGTTAGTTTAGGAGCTGTCAAGACACAAACAGTTCTTATTGGTACTACAAATTTGGTTCTGAATATAAGAGTACAGAAAGTCTCTGTCCCTAATAATTTGTCTGAAGATCATAAGTACATTTTTAAAGAGAGCAGCTGACTCCATTGATATAGAAGAAAGGGTTAAATGTCTATATTAAGCAGGCCCTTTGAAACTCCCTTATTCTCATAGACTGAGCCGCCCCCCATCCCCACCAGCATGCGCAAAGGCCACAGGGGAGAGAATTCGCAATCCCTATTTAGCCCTGTGGAGAGCATACGGGAAATGATACATGTCACAATACACGACCACCTAAAACACCATTTGCCTTTGAAAAATGGACATATGTAGCATGACTACATGCAGAGATGAGGAACACCACGGCCATTAATATACAGTGGAAGAATAACGGCGACAACAAGGATAACAGCTAGATGGTGATGCGGGGCGGCGGTGGCATGCGGTGATGACCATATAAGGGCACCTTCACTGCTGCGGTCTCCTTTCTGAAGACCCAAACAGCGGAGCCAGTGAACTCCCAAACAAAGCCCTTATAGGGAATAATATGTCTGCAGCCTGACTCACGGTTTACGCCAAAGCGATAACATAGTACTGGAGCTGTGAAGGCCGGCCGTACGGATCCTGAGTACGCAGACGTCTCCACACACAGCACATGAATATTCGGATGATACGGCAGTAAGGATTTACTACATAAACTAGCTAAATGTTTCATTAATGATAGGGGTACGTACGGATGGCCTTGGCACTAAGATGAGTACGAGTGAGCTTCCAGCCTCATCACTGCCAGTCCTGCTGCCCTATACCATAAAAACACTGTCATGTGACCACTATACTGGACCTTTGGGCAGCACCTCTGATACATTGAATTATCCATTCCTGGGTGTGCGAGTGCAGCGGCGAGCTGCTTTTTCCAAAGACTTGCTGCAGAACCCGGACCCCCAGATCATGTGTCCGGGGGCCCCTTAAGAGCGGAAGAACGAAGTACGTCCACCCCTGAGCGCATTACCCCCCGATTTGGCACAGGACACGCAACCGCCCAGAGCCCTGTTTACAAACAGCTTAACATTCAGCACAACAAATCACGTTAGTTTGGCCCGACAAAGTATAATGTATTATTACGAGGATAAGCTATCGAGAAAAGAAAAAGCTGTAAAAACATCTGAAGGATCTCAGAGATCACACAGCAGCATGTTTACTGAAATCACTTAGTGTCATCCTCCATCCTGAACACTCTCTTAATTTGATAAATATGTGTGGGGTTAACATTAGGGTTGGGAATGCCACAAATAATGAGGAGGATGGGAGGGTTGTTACCTCCCCCCCCAATAATCAAAACCAGTCAATATAACCCCCTGGACACCCTTAAATGGGTGGAAACCACAACCCCCCATGCGCAGCCCAGAGTTACAGTATACCCTTGCTGCTTCTCCCGCATCCTGACTGCGCAGGCTGGAAGCAGATGTACGCATGCTGCTGACAGTGTGACACTGAGCTCAGCAGAGGCCCTGCGTCTGGAATACCAGTGGAACCACTGGAGGCGAAGTTCGCTTCCATCAATGAAGATGACAGTGAACGTACAGTCTGCACCGTAACCAAACAGAGACTAAATGTAAGGAACTGCCAAATGTGTCCCATGCAAAGAATAAACACATGTGATACTGGTCCTTTACATAAACTAGAGTGATTTTTTAACAGAAGCTGTGCTTAGCTTTAATTTCACTGAGTTCAGTTTAGAAGTGGTGATGGTGTCATACTTAGGGGCAGGCAGACTGAGCTAGTGACTGCCAAGCATGTGAGAATGGCAAGTCAGACCCACAAGGCCTTAAATGTTTTACATCAAACTCCACCACAAGCAAAAAAAGCCCTGCAAGTAGGAAAGTGCTCTAATCACAGGCTTGCTGATATTAACATTAACATCTGCCATAAATCCTACAGGAAAGTTAGAACCTCCTCATTATTATTATTATTATTATTAGTGGTAGTAGTCGTATCAATAATAATAATAATAATAATAACAATAGTAATAATAATAATATGCTGTATTTATGGCTGCCCTTCACGGACAGCTTGCTCTACAAAGAGCAAGTTGAGGGAGGCGTAAAAAAGAATTTCCCCACGGGGATTAATAAAGTGTAAATTATTATTATTATTATTATTATACTGAGAGCTTCATATGTCAACTGTATAGATCAGCAACGGACCACAAGTCCTTCATTTGTACTTAAATTCATATTAACTACTAGAGTTTGGGCACTAAAGGCACCATTCAGGCCCCGGCCATTCTAGAGAACTCTTAACTGCAGAAGGAACTGGACAGTTTGACATTTGCAGTCTTCCCTTATGGAAAACAGAACAAGCAGAAGCGCTGCATTAAAATCACACCACTACCCTAAAGCATGTGACCTGCAGCCATGACCCCTTGTTTTCTGGAAGATTTCATCACTCTCCACCTCTCCCTTTCTTAAAGGATTTCTTAATTTTTTTCCCAAACATGTGAAAATTTTGATTTGATGTGAAAAACTGCATGAAAATATACTGCCTAAATGCAACCAAGGTACTTAGACCTAATCACACATTACAGCAAGCAAGGCAGATCGTTATGGCAATTTTATACATGAAACGCCGCCAAATTCTCAGTTGACTGTGAAAATTAAAAGCACACGGGAGAATGTCTATCCTGCACAGCGACAGAAATCACTGATTGTCACGTACAGAAATTGCTGTAGGGTATCAAATGCCAATCTATTTCAAAAGAGCACTTTGAAACTTTCAATTACTGCATTTTAGGGTGCAATTTAGGAACTCCAATTATCTTTATTGATTACTCGCTGACCCAATTTATAATTGATGTAAATCTGTGTAGCATTTTTAATGGAGTGATTTCCCACCACTGTTGCATTTTTACATGTAAACTCAGCTCGCAGGTTTATTCAGTAAAAATATAACTTCACCAAGAACCAAAGACCCAAGCGGCAAGTGACTGTTAAAAACCATGTTTGGAGAACAGGAAATTCTTTCTTCTCCACTGCAAGTTGACTTCCTCTAATTCATATGCCATTGTTCAAAGAAATAAAAGAAACAGACTTTGGAAACATGAATCCTATTTGTTTAATATAAAATGTTTTTTTTTCCTCCTACAAGTGAACTTTTATAGTCCATAATGTTCTACTTGAACTGCTCACTGAGATATACAGTTGAAGAAAATTATTTCCAATGTGAAGTCAAAACATATTAATAAAAATAAGATGCCCATTTTCTTGCACATCACCGTTGCTTTTCAGAGGGTCATCTTTAAGTTTTACTCCCCCATACAAACAGCTCATAATTATTACTGCAGCAACTCAAATATGCCCTGTACTCTTTCTATTAGACTAAATGTATGTTTGTCTCACTTGCATCCTCTTAAAAATTAAATGCAGATGTACAAAGGACAGGCACCGTGTATGAAACTTTTCAGACGATTCTAAATAATAATAAAACGCATAACATGCGCGCAAATATCTTTTTTCTTTTTAAAAAAGCTTCTCATGGAGTAAGGAGTATGTTAAGACTTCAATCTCCTTTGTATTCCAGGTGTGAAACAGCAAAACTATCATATATTTTAATACATCACACCCCCTGCAGTGAGACATTTTGGCATAAAGCGCCTGAGAAATATGTCAGGGAACGATACTCACAAGCTGACAGATGCTTTTCACCTGGAGGCTGGGATCTGAAGAGTACTCCACAGAGGGACTGTCCAAGTTATCCTGAACAGGGCTCGCTGGAGTATTTAAACAAAACCGCCCTATTAGGGGGAGGAGCTCAGATCCTCCTCACTTCTGTGCTCCGCTACAGTATTTCGTTTCCAGCACTTGTCTGTTTGTAGGATGCATTGCAGGGTGTTTATGCTCTTGTGTGTTTATGGTCCGCCGCTATTTTAGACACGCCAGACGCTCTTCTATGCCTATTGTGCGCTGGTGCTGCACGCGCCCGGCGCAGCGCTCAGCTCTGCCGCATGATCTGCGATGCGTGTTACTATCAATGTGTCTCTAGAATCGTATTAAAACACATCAATAGCACAGGATATCTGGCTGCTAACTAACTGGTTTTCTCTGTTTCACAAGAAAAGTAGTTAAATATTACAACTCGTGCAAATAACTGTAATGTCACAGAATGCAACCAATGGTATTTCTGATGATTTTTCTTCACTAGATAACTAAATAGTCGATCGTCTTTGTCGCCTATATGGCGGGCTGGCGCCCTGATGACACAATCACCATTCTGTCAATAAAACATTGATCGTTTCTATAGGTTTTCATCTGTCACACAGTGCTCTCCTAACAAAATACTGTCGTCCAGTTGGCTTGCGCCTGTTGAGTTGTTTGGATCAAGTGCTTTAAATTACATGCTAATTATTTAAATGTAATTCGTTCCCTTTCTCTAAATTATTGCGCAAAAGCTGCATCTGATCTTCAGAACATAAACTGTGGCTGGTGTGGTTCCTAATTCCTTTTTAACTGACACGCACTTTCACCTGCATGTATTTCAGCTTTGGCCACTTTCAGTAGCCTATCAAAAAATCTGAGTTATAGAAACACAAAATCTGAGCTATAGAAATGTGTGACACTGACAGCCGACTCTGTGTTTCAGATTGTCACATTCGATCACTGGCAAAGGTATGACTTTGTAATTGTTTGGCAGCCTAATTGCGCACCTGGCATAATTATAACCAGTCGGTAGGACAGAGCCACAGTGCACTGGAGTCCCAGTTACCCTTCCTGCCATCTCCCAACCCCAAAAAGGCAGACGCACTGCTGTAACTAGAGGAATCCCTTCTTCCGTCACACAGGTGTTTCCCCAGAATTGTCTCTGATCTCGGCATGGGCTTCCAACCATCACACACCACATTCCTGTGTATCCCAACCCTCCAACCCCCCTGGCCATCCTGCCATCTCAGATGGAACTTTCTTTATAAGGAAACGCTCATAATCCGCTCAGTAAATCACATGTGGCTCGGCCGGCTTCTCCAGGACCAGAGATAGATAGGTATGCAGGGGAGAGCGACGCGTGTTGCCAACTCAGGGAACGCCAGAGGCTGGAAGTCACAGCATGGCCTCTGGTCATCATCAGAGAGGAGGATGGTGCACAGCAAGGGGGCTGGGAACGGATGGCAATAGGAGGGGGGTCACAGGGGGCCCCGAGGGCCGAGGTGCCATATAAGGATAGGGGGGTCTGTGAGGAATCTCGGCGGCGCTCGGTGTTTGAAAGCGCAGCACGAGTAGCTCCGGCCGCTGACTAAATATGGTGTAGCAGGAATGGCATCGCTGACACAAACATTGCAGCTTGCATGGAAACAGCTTTAGGTTATTTACTGGCTAACATCAGCCCTATGCTCATTCTGTAGTCTACTCCAGTGAGCTGAGAATAAAGTGAGAAGTGAGGGAAGATCCATCATAAGTAAAAGTGCTTGTTTCTTCTGTAAGCGTTGAAATGTGGGCCTTTAACTGTGACACTTCAGCCTTGTTGTCACAATTTAAGGGTAATTATCACTGCACTTATCTATGGTTTGATGTTCACACAAGGCAACATGCAGGATGTTGATGGTGGTGTGCTTATTCAAGAAGATTTAAAATCGGAAAGAGATCAAAAGTTTGGGAAGGGGGAATTTTATTGGGTTCTACACTATCTTGTGGTGAATGGAAAAACCTCAGTGTGCCAAGTGTAGAACACCATCCTCCTGGAGGCTGGACACAGCCCATCTTCCCAGAGTTTTTTCTTATTCCTAAGTCCTCTGTGAAATATATTCCTCCTCACAGGGAGCAGCAAAGCTGTGTGAGTCAGTATTTTTGCAGTAGTTTTTATCCGGGGCCCAGACAGAAGAGCGACGTTCTCTCCCATGCTCGGGCCACTCCTACATGAAGTGGATTCTCTCCACATACAAACATTGAGATTGCTCATGCTGTTTGATTTTCCCAAAACCTCCATGCTGACCTGGAAAGCATATTGTTCATCCACATCTTCATGTAATTCAGAGCTGTTGTTTATGTGGGTTTTTTTTTTTTTACCACAACTCCCTAATTACCCTACAGATTTAGAGGACTAATTGACTGAAGAGTCCTCACACCTGGGTTTGAACAGCTGACCTACAGGTTATCCCAAAAACCTGCATACACACCGGCCCTTTGCAGATAAGACTGGCCACCCCTGCTCTAATCCAATATTTTCCACGTGCAAAAAAATCTTGCATCTATCCTCCATAAATGCTTCATCACTACAAGGTCATGGTGTTGACTCTGCTTGGATTAAAATGCGCACAAATAAATGCTTTAAATAGACTGCAAAATCTAAGTGATTTAATGCAAAAGCAAATTGCACGCTATAGCTATAGCTGTCCTAGTGAACAGGGGCCTTTAATTTCAAGGGATCTGAGAACTTTTCGTCCAGATAAGAATGTCAAGTTTCCTTTTATGGTGCGGAAGGAAATGACATCGAGAGGCTGCCTGCGGCAGACTGGCTGTGGCGTCCTGCAGGGGCCTGACCCACAGGGACATTTTTCCAATGCCCCCGCTTTGTTGCGCATTTCCAACAAACGCAGGGAAAGGGATTCCTCGTTAAATATTGCAGAATCACCTGCCATTTAACTTTTCAGCCATACATCCATAGTAAGATGAAAGTTCAAAAGATTGCATTATAATGCACTTTAATGACTGGTCTCAGGTAAAAGCACTCCTATAAGGCTAAAATAACTAATTATCTTCTATAGGTACTGCATTTTCAAAAAGAACACCCTATCATTTTGAGGTAAAGCTTCAGAACAATTTACTCTGGAAATAGTTTGCTTTCTGTATGAGTGTGTATGTGATGCCGCGCACTTTGCCAGCCAGAAGAGCCTGCCAGTCCAGCAGCAGCCACACAGAACCTCCAACAGTTCTGGATAATATTCCAAGGTGTTGTTTTGGCAAAGTCGCTACACAGACGGCAAATTCCCTTATACAGTCAGCAGTAGTGTTCGGTTCTGCAGTGTCATCCCAGGCTGAAGACCTGGGTACAAAAGACTAAACCATATTCCTCGTAAAAACCCATCTAGTGTCCATATAAGTGAAAAGCTGTCACCCTCTATATATAGTGACATGTTCTGTCAAATTTCTCCCTTTACAAAAGCTGCTATTGACCTCAGGTATTAACTATCATCCCCCTGAATATTTCAGCATGACGTTCAGAATAATTCATACAAAATCCGGTTGTAGATAAGCTAATTTAAACAGAGGTCACATGTGAATTCAAACATCCAAAGACATTAGCGATAGCAGGTACTGTATGTGTGGTGTGACTCCCCACGTAACCGAATCGCAAACCCTAAACATGGGCACACATTTGTCTAACAGCGGCAAGGTGGCCAATATGGTGCCTGACTTTCACGTAAAGAAAACAAATCTTAGCATTTGTTTCAGGCATCCAAACTTTCAGATGCTGGCAACTGGATGCAGTTTTCAACATGGATGGGTTAAAAAATATTCTTCTCCGTTACTTTTGACTTCATTCTAGTTTTTTGCTCTTACTTCTACAACTACAAAGAAAATAGGCCACATTTTGATCTTCATTCCATGTTTCCTAAACAATTCCACCTCTGAGATTAAATGATGAAAACATTAATTATATGGCGATCATATTATTAGCAGTTTATGTGCTGCTGCCATCATGTGGCGTGGAGCAAAACAGCACCCAAAAATATACCCTGCAATACCTACTTTGCAGAGCTTTTAAGTAAGTATTTTTTATTGAGGGAAGAGTTTACCATTTCTGACGGTGAGAGACAATGAAAAATGGTTTATGAAGACACGAATGAGAGATTTCAAGATGCTCACTGTTGTGTGTTTGGGTAAGATAACTGCCACGACTAAACATTAAGCTATCACCAGGTTAGGGAGCCTTAAAATACTAATGTGTATAAAAATAATTAAGATAAGGGGGATAAATCGGCAGTTAGAAAAATGCGTTACATGAAAAATGTTCTAGATTTGAATTCAGTTTTGCTCTCTAGGTTGTCAAAATGTATTCATAAGAAATCCATAAATAGTACAGAATACTGCTGCTAGAGTTCCTAGGTGAACTAAAATTCACGGAAGTTGCTTTTCCACACTAGATCCTGCCTAGTAATCAGCAAATGCCTCGTCGAACCTGTGCTGTATCTAATAATGTGAAGTCGAGAATGAATCCCAAGCTGTTCAGATCGTTCTTGCTGCTGTGCATAGATCCTCTTTATATCTGCCCACATCAAACCAGCCCTCTGGATTCATTCTCTGTTACACTGAGTCATCTGTGCTTCTTCATAACCAGTTATGGTCAAACTATAATTTGGAAAAATGTGCTTCTTTCTCCTCCCTTCTGCTCAGGGCCATCTGTCCCCAGGCCCCGAGATCGTGACAAGGCGCAGACATCCGGCTTGCGTGCGGAGAGAGGACCTGTGCATCAGCCCGATTCAGCCAGTAACCAGCCCCACTGCTGGTGCTGGTCAGCATCACAAATGATGGAGATGCTAATATTTACCATCGCGTTTGTCAAGCCTGACAGAACACCGATTGATTAAAATCCATCTATATGATTTAAAAAAAAAAAAATCCCCATTTGCACTGCAGTTTCCCCATTACTACCATACAGGCGTTATCGCTTTTAAAAAGTCTCATTTTTTTTCCACAACAAGCTTAGGAAAATTGACCAAAAGTAAAATTATGGGCTCCATGAAAAAAACCTTGGGGCCTCTGTTAGGGGCCCCTATAAAGTGCTGGGCCCTTCCGCCACCCTTGCCTGTATTATTTCTTATGAAAATGGAAAATAAATTATC